AAGTTCATGCTTTTAAACCTACACTTTTTTTACTACTTTACTGCTATATGAATTTTATTTAAATTTAAATGATTACATTACACTTTTAAACATTTTCTTTACAGTTTCATCCAAACTCAACTCGCCAGATTAGACTTTAAATTATTTATATCTTTTGACGGGGATTCGTTATAATTATTTTGTTGGGTGTCGAACCATAAACTTTATAATAAAACTCGAAGAATTTCAACAAAACACTTTTATTAATAAACTTTACGTTTCCGTGACAAATCAAATCATATGTTTTTTCTACCTACTGTCCCTCGCTCTTTTTTATAATGGACTCGTCCAAGCGGTCCGAGAGGGGCCCTATAATAATAATAGTTCTCTGTTTGTTACAATTTTTAAATAAAACTTGGTAGAAACAATCTTAAAGAATACTTTCTACCTATTTTGATTTTTTTCGTCTGAATTAATATCTTAATATTCTAAATGAATACACTTTACTTATTAGATAAGTATACACATGGCATACATATGATTCCAAAAAACGGCGTCAAATTACCTTTGAAATGACAATCGTCAGAATCGATCGTCGTGTCAAAAATTTACGAGTATCTAAAGTTTTTTTTATCTAAATCGATCACCGTGTCAAAAATTGTACGAGTTCCTAAAAATTTATTTTGATGCTATGATTTTGTTAAAAAGTACCTAAAGATTTTTTCATCTAAATCGATCGCGGCGACGCGACGCGACGCGAAGGGTCAAAAATTGTACGAGTAAAAAACTTTAGGTACTTCTCTATATGTATAACCATATGCGAAAATGTCAAAACATTGACATATTATATGTCATTCTATTGAGGGTGCATCCACACTATCCTAAAAACGGCGTATCGGCGTAACGGCGTAACGACCTTGAACCGATTTCCAGTAATTCTATTGGCTGAAATTTTTGACAGCTCAATTTGATAGATAAAATTTGTGACAGATGAATTTTTCAGCCAATAGAATTACTGAAAATCTATTCAAGGTCGTTACGCTGTTACGCCGATACGCCGTTTTTAGGATAGTGTGGATGCACCCTCAATAGAATGACATATAATATGTCAATTTTTTGACATTTTCGCATATGGTTATACATATAGAGAAGTACCTAAAGTTTTTTTCATTTAAATCGATCATCGTGTCGAAAAATTGTACGAGTACCTAAAAATTTATTTCGGCACTATGATTTCATTGTAGTAGTTAAATTTTTTTTTCGTCTAAATCTATCGTCGTTTCAAAGAATTGTACGAGTACCAAAAAACTTTATTTCGTGCTATGATTACGTTATAGAAGTGCCTAAAGATTTTTTTCATCTAAATCGATCGACGGGTCAAAGAATTGTACGAGTACCTAAAGATTTATTTCGGTGGTATGATTTCATTGTCGAAGTAATTACATCAAAGTAATTACGATCATCGTATATATGATAGTGACTGTACGATAAGGCCGTTTTGTATGATATTTCTCCCCACAGGAAAAAGTTTACACAAAAAGGTACCGTATGATCGAAAAAAAGCGGCGTCCAGTTGGCTTGGAAATGACGATCGATGACATTCCCCATATAATTTTACATATAAAATGACAGCAATTTTCATTTCATTGCCATCGCTGACGCCGTTTTTTTTTCGATCATAAATATGATAGTATTCAGTTATTTCACAATAATTAATTTTATTGCATTATTTCGTTCAGTGAGATCTAAAATAGTAATTTCAGTGAAACAAAAATTTTGACGGCTACACGTATTCTTTAAACTGTGGCTACACACTACAGTAATACGTATATTCAGTTTACTTTTAACTTTTTTTCTTTTAAAGTATAAAGATAATATACGGGGTTCCATCATCACTTAGTAAACACTTACAAAATCTACTAAACGAAATTGATAATGCATTGTAACTTGATTATGCTTATTACAAAGAAATTTAATTTTTAAAGAAATTTCAGATAAAAACGCTTTCGTACAGATGCATTTATAAGACAGAATATATCTAATACTAACAATAAGTACAATAATATTCACTATAGCAGAAATGCACCGTTTTTACTTCTGCACTGTCATCAATTACCGCGTCAAAAGGTCCGTTCGTCTAATTCTAATATAAATATTTGGAGAATTAAAAGCGGCAACGTCGTGGGTCTGGCGAAAACGAATAAACCTCTATTTTTTATATAAATGGGACAAATTAAACGGTCCAGCATCAGGGCCTGAAGGCATCGCTTGAACATTTTTCGTCCGATATACCCCGGGTCTGACGGCCTATCTTCAACGTACCGGGTCTGACTCCGTCGATTTAATAAATATATATATATATATATATATATATATATATATATATATATATATATATAATAAAAATATTTGACATATTATGTCATGCATAAGTTATTATCATGGTGACAAATTACAAAAATAATCTTTTCACATGCAAAAAGTGGTGTTAGGTAACAAAACCTCTTTTGCGAGGTTTTGTTACTAAAAAAAAAAAATTTTCAAATAGAAAAGTTATTAAGAATTTAATTTTACGCCTGTGTCATGTTTCATATAAATATACAGAGGGGCTCTCAAAAACTATCAATTATTCAATCATTTTTTGAAATAAAATAAAGTCAAGAGTTTTATCTTTTCTCTCTGTGAGCTAACCTCATTTTTTCAAGATTTTTGTAAGCTGTCGCCATTACAGTTGTCGTATGAGATATTAAATTGATATCTATTTGGTCATTCAACATGCTGAATTACTTCTGCATAAACTTTTTCAAGAATTCAATAATAAAAATTGTTCCCATTTCCTGCGAACTGTATGGTTAGGTTAGGTTAAAAACCGAACTGTGGTTAATACCGGATGTTTTTAAAAAGTAGCTATAACTTTTATTTTTTCAGACAAAAAAAACGAGGTTTAGTACGATAGTATACGATATAATCAGGATTGATTGACGCATTCAATTAGTTTTGGTCACTTCCTGTGTCACAGAAATTGACTACAACTTTTGATTTTTAAATGGTAACATCGGTATTTTTTACTTTATTTGATAGAAAATGACATACTGAGTAGAATGACACATCATATGTCAAATTTTGATATATTCGATTAAAAAAGTTGTATTTTAAATTTCAATCTACAGTATGTCCCCGAATTGTCTTAACAAGAGGAAAAATTTTTCTGTTTTAATATTTTGAGAAAAATGCATTCTTCATAAAAAAATTGCTTATTCTAAAATCGTTAATTCCGTTTATACTTTTCCAAATTTCCACACCGTTTTAGAGAAAATTAAGAAAAACATGAAAATATGGTTGAATTTTTTCTGAAATCCTAAATATCAAAAGGCGATTCTTTGGTTATATCATTTTGATTTCATTCTTTGATAGATTGCTATTATTAAATTTGATTAACGTCATATACATTCTTTGCTGTTGTTAAAGTATCATATTTTCCAATAATTATTATCACCCTTAGTATTGAACTAAATAAATTTTGTACTTCTTTAATATTTTAAAACAGCAAAAAATATTGCATTAATGAAAATTATATGAATAACAATCTATCAAAGAATGAAAGTGAATTAGTATTACCATAAAAACGCGTTTTGATTTTTAGAACTTTCAAAAAATTCAACCATATATTCATGTTTTCTTAAATTTTCTCTAAAACGGTATGGAAATTTGGAAAAGTATAAACGGGATTAGAACAAGCAGAAATATTTATGAAGAATGCATTTTTCTCAAAATGTCAATAATAAAAAAGTTTTTCCTCTTGTAATGACAATCCGGGGACATACTGTAAGTGCAATGGCTGTGTTCATAACTACAATTTGACTCAAAATATCAAGTATGTGTTACCAAATTATTTGTCAAAAAATACTTTTTCCAAATATGCTAATGAGTCACCCTAGATCCATTTGAAAAAATGAGTTATTATTAAAAATACTATTGAGGCATCCTTTAACAAGGCAGGAAATATCACGAAAAACATGAGACTAATGTATTTTTCTTGATTAAAAATTAGTAGGTAGTTAGAATTTAGAATGAGTGGGAGGGGGGTTAATCACTGCGACCTTACAGATCTATTGTGTCCCCCTTTCTTGAGTTATAACTCATCATACAGTTCCCAGGGCTTTGACAAAAGCCAGTATCTGGGACGGTTTTATAGAGGGTAGTTCTCCATCTCCAATATCAGTCGTACCAAAGTTCATGGCACGAATGGTTGTCGTCTCGGCGCACTCAGTGATGAGGTGTACTGGTGTTTCCCCATTTTCCCCACAGAATCTGCATTCGTCGTTTCTTCTTAGTTTCAATCTACTGAGGTGTTCATTGAGGAGACAGTGTCCTGTTAAAAACCCCGTGACAATCCGAAGATTGTTCTTACTTAAATCCAGGAAGATCTGTGATTTTTCTTGATCGTAAGCCCTCAAAAACTTCTTTGAGTGTCTTAGACCGTTGCAAGATTCCCATTCCAGGTTGCAGATGGAGTCTTCCAATTTCTTGAGTTCCGCCTTGAGTTGGTTACCACTTGGAAAACAGAACGGTTCTGGTCCAATTAGTGGAGTGTTCGCTCCTTTTCTAGCTAGATCATTGCCTTCTATCCCTTGGTGAGCAGGCACCCAGAGTAGGAGGACTTTGTTTTCTTTGCCTAATTTATTCAGCTTCTCAAATTAGCAGTTTTAACACAGTTTCTGGATTGAAATGTAAAATACAATTTTTTTGACGAAATGAAAAATGTTTGATATATCATTTTACTACGAATGATAAAGTAAAAAAACATTAGGGTGCCATTTAAAAATCAAAAGTTGCAGTCATTCCCCCTTCCATCATTGAATACATCAATCACTCCTTATTCATGTCATAAATAATAACACCAAATCAAGTTTTTTATCTGAAAAAATAAAATGTTAAAGAGTTGAGCCACTTTTAAATACAACACCCGGTATGTAATCTAGATGCAAAATATACAAAATAATACGTGTCTTCCATTAAAGCCGAAACAGAAAGGACATCCTGCGACGATGTCGTACCGAAAGGCGAGTCGCCCGGTTCGCCGACATTGTCCTTCAACAAGAACAAAGGAATTAAGAAGCTCTTTGGAAAAATGAAGAGGTCTGGATCGGGAAATCTGGAAGACTTACCTCCGGGAATTGGAGATTTCCAAAGGGGAGGCGTGAGAGCAACGGCTGCCGCAAGATTAGGATGGAGTGAACCGCACTTAACGCTGAAGTATGTTAAAGTAACTTGTTTGATAAAAAAAGATTCGTAATTCTTATATGACTCGTTGAAATCGCTTTGCGGCTAGTGTTTAATATCTTTATATCGTATGATCAAAAGAAAAAAACGGCGTTAAAGACAGCCGGGGATGACAATAGTTGATAATTTTGGTAAGGTCAATCTTTTTAATTACCATTAAAATTTATAATATTTTTTAAAGATTAAAAAAGGATAGAGCGTTTCCAGACACAAAACTATTTCTAAAAAATATTTTTTTTCTCGAATTTTAAACTATACCATTTAAAAATATATTTTTTTTCAAACGTCACAAAAGTCCCTTAACGCCTAGGCATAAAATTAAAGCACTTTTACGCCTAAACATAAAAGTACGAAAATATGTTATGAAACTGACATAAAGTGTCAAATTCAACGAGCGTAACCACAGTTTCTCGATATATAATTACATACAAGGTATAACTTAAATCTTTTTATGTTCTTTGGAACGTTTGTAGCGTTTAAAAAAAATAGTAAGTTCTATTCGGTTTAAAAATGACTTTTTGTGCCGTCGGCTGTATGGGAAACGTACCAAACGTCAAACCACCACAAAAAGCTTCATTCATTCATTTTTACTCCTAATAAAATAATATACTATTGCTCAATATAAAAATAAATTACGGCCTTCCTTACTACCAGTTGGCCTTAAGCGGAATTAATACATAAAGAAGATTTAAGGTCAAGTAATGACGGTTTGACCTCGCCAAAATTGTCATATCAGCTAGAACATAATTTTTCCTTAAGTTCAATGATTATCATTTTTATTGAGCCAACTTTTACTTAAATATTTAAAAGTATATTCCATTTAGATGCGATAAGCCTTTCGCCGAATGGGACACAGAAAATATCTGCGATTGGCTGCAAGATATGGGTCTAGACCAATATATCACAGACGCCAAACGTTGGGTAAAAAGTGGTTCTCAGCTCCAAGAAAGCCCCATTACAGAGATAGAGAAAGAACTTAATATCAAGAACCCCTTGCACAGAAAGAAACTTCAATTAGCTTTAATTGATACCACAGAAAATTCATCCAGTGATCCGTATCTATCTGAAGCGGGAAAACTAGATACTGCTTGGGTTTTGAGGTAAAATACTGTTAATTTTCTGGCTATAATTGTTACATTTGGGTCGGTATTTACATATGTGGAAGTAAATCGCATAGGGATCTTATTAAGTCGGAGTGAGAGAAATGCGACGGTGTGCTGTTGCGGCGTTGCCACATTTCGTCGGTACGCCTTTCCCTATCAAGTAAAGTAAAATCACGATCGCAAACCGCTTATTTTTAAAAGACCCTTTTTTTCGAAAAGATAACTAGATAAAATCATTAGATATGTCTCTCTCATTTTTTTATAACGATAAAACGTCAGTAATCGCGATAATTTGAAAACTCAACTTTTTTAACAGATAACACGTCATAATTTAAGAACCACTTTATATATTGAAACTTTTTTTATTTTGAATATCAGATCTGTTATAATATCTTTAAATAAGAAAAATTCGATAAGAGGTTGTTTAGCAATTTTCAGCAATCGTGTAGCTTTTTTATTTATAAACATTTTCACATACTGTCTGCGAAGAAAATATAGCAGAAATGTTAAGAAAGATTTTTGAAAAAACTACAATCAATTATTTCTAATAGATTTCGAGATATCGATTTTTCAATTCAGACTTCTAATAGCGCGACCACTGTCGAACACCAATTTAATTCCACTTATTTTTACCAAAAAGTGTTTCTAACTTGCACTTAAAATTTTTCAAGATGTAGGGAACATTACAAAGACTCGTTAATAAGCAAACAAATAAAGTATCACGAGACGTAATTAATTCGTGAAGCTGAACGCATGATGTAGAATGTGAACGCCTAGAACTTTAAGTACTGACTGATTGGGTCGACCGGTTGACTGCAACAAATTTGCTATATCCTCTTCTACGACTCTTAGCAATATGCACAGTTTCTCGGTTTGGCAACGTGTTTACTGTTCTCTCTTTGTTTAGTACATTATAAACGCAATGTACCCTTCTTACATACGGAAATCTCGACCCAAGACTAACCTTTGCCAGCCCTTAGTATATTTATTAAAATATTTTGTTTTATTCTCTCAGATGGCTGGATGATGCGGGACTGCCCCAACACAAAGAAAACTTCTTAATCAACCGTGTAGATGGCAGGGTGCTGCACCGACTGACTATAGACGATCTAGCTTTACTTCACGTAACGTCATTGTTACACGTGGCCAGTATTAAGAGGGGAATTCAAGTTTTAAGGGAGAACAACTATGAATCGGGTTGTTTACAGCGAAGATCGTTACCCGACGATCCCGAAACGCCAACGCCCAAGCAAATATCGTTGTGGACCACGCATAGGTATGTAACAAAAATAAATAATACGATCAATAAAAAAACGTCACAATGGCATTCCTGTAATTTAAAACTGGCTCAAAAGCCTGATATCATAGATAAATGAAACAAGTTTAGATTGGAAAGTGCCCATAAGGACAATGTAAATACTATTTGGCGCTATTCTTCAACGGTCGCGGTTCGAAGCTTTTGATGATTTCAGGGCGGTTCGGCTTTTTCCGGAATTATGTCGCCATATATTATTTATCCAAATTTATTACTATTTTCTTCTAATTTCATAAATAAAATACAATGTGTTGCTAATAAGAAGCTTTATTTTATATAAGGGCATGTATGAAATACCTATGTAACATTGGAAAAACCAACGTTATGCCACGATGGTCTCTGCAGTTCACAGCTCACACAGCTTTTTAAGTTTTTTAATGCCACTTTTTCACAATTATCACAGCTTTGAGTAAATAAAATTTACACTAAACTCACAATATAACAATAATTACTTTGAATATGGACGCTTTAAACACTTTTCGGTATTTTTTCGAAGAGGGCGGTTTAAATTTTGAAATATTTTATAATTTTTGAAGATTCTGACAAGGGAAATATTATTTCTGTTCTTGTTTGTGGTTGTTCTTAGCCAACCGCTATAGCAGCGTCAGATCGCGTATAACGTATGCGACCCAAAACAATTTTACGTTTTGGCGGGCTTTCCAATCTAAATTTATTTCCTTTATCTATGCCTAATATGTAGGAAATATAAGTTGACAAAACTATAGAATGACAACTTGAGGTACGTTAGCATTTGCATGGTTTTGCACTGTTACCTGTTCAGTTTTTAATTTAAAAATAGATGCAGGTTTTCTTAAATTACTTAAAATCTACTATTTACGATTTAGCTGCAAAATTAATAGGGGAGCCAATATTTGGACAGTTCAAAATTTGCAGGGACTTTTCTGTTTCCAACGACGATGCACCACGGTATATAAAGCGCTAAGTACCACGGCTATTAAATTGCCTATTAATAATGTACCATTCTTATACATTGGTTACATAATAAAAAAATTGGCGCCGGGAGGCACGTATAGCCGCCCATACTTAAATATGTAAATAATCAATTATCTCAAAAACTGCGACTCTGACTGATTTTGATATTATTACAAATTTTGTTGCAAATATTATTCCAAATCTTAAATTGAAAACCGCGTTTCGCTAGTTACTGTAATTTTGGAGTTACGATTTTTTTTAATTTTTAACCCCCTCCCATACCCCCTTACCTTTTTTTTGCCGATCTTAATAGCCTACCGGTAAACTAATAGGATTGCTCATCCTCATAAGACGTACGTTCGCCTCTTCCCGCGCTTCAGCTGACAGTTGTGACGTCATTGTAGTCCTTGTCATGATAGTGTGTATTCTAGTTGCCTATGGTAAACTTATCAAAATAACAGCTAAGAAATTTTGAGTTAATTATTTTGTCAATTTTAAATGCGAAAAAGGTGTTTTTTAAAGTTTTTAGAGCTATAGAGTGTATAAATACGTTCATTCTGTGTTGTGGATTGTGAGAAAGTGCTTACTAAGTGCCTACGATATTGTTTATTAATTATTTTAAAGCAAAATATGGAAGTACTCCTAGAATATTTGTTTATAATATTTGATATTTTTTGACTTATGACATAATAGATACTATTTACGCATCCTATTTAAAACACGTGATTTTTTTTAAATATTTTTTCAAGATTTTAAAATATGTGTTCAGTTTAATTTAAAAAAGGAACCTGAATTGAAAATTTATTCTTTTTGGCCTCTTCTACTTTTTTAATGTAACGATATTTAAGTTCGTTTAAATGGACTTATTTTAAATGTTTTCTATTTGTTAACGAGACTTAACAATTTAATATTAGTTTTTGAAGGAATAAGTAGTCAAAATTGCATTAATTTTGCTCCTCAAATCTTAAACTCAATCTAGATTTTTTTGTATTTTTATGATAAATTTGAAATTAACTAATGCTTTTCAGTATACCAAACTTAATAAATAATTTGAAATTTATTGCATAATAGCATACCGAGTATACAGGGTGTCTCAATATTCCGGGAACAGAACTATTTCGTATTTCTGGAATTAAAATAAGTTATTTTTATGAATAAGTATTTTATGAAGCTTATTGTCAAATATAATTTATGATACTAATGTAAAATCTCATATTTTCACCAACTAGATTATTAGCGCTTAATAGATTTTGTGCGCCCACATAGCTTGATGTGACAAGAAATATTTTTTGAATGTCAGAAATATTTGTTTTCACAAAAAGTATGCTCGGTGGCGGTTTTTTACAAGAAACAAAAAATGTAGTAAATACCAGAAGGACCGTTTTACGAAAAAAAAAATCGGTCGTCGGTAGAGTTTGAAAATATTTATACTAAAATGTATGTAGAGGTGGGGGTAGTTTTTACCCCTACTGTACTTTTTCTTAGCATAACATACCCAAAATCTCATTCAAATCGGGATAACGGTTCTTAAAGTATCTAAAAAATGTGTATTTACTAGAAAGGAGTAGTATCTAGAAAATGTGTATTTACTAAAAAGGCAAAAGGTGATGCTGGGAATTGCTGTTCTTAAAAATGCATTATCCGAGTATTTAATACGACTTATACAGTTAATTTTCTATACTGCATACATATAAGGTGTTTGGTTTGGTTTGGTAAATAATGCACGTGCGTGTATTATTGGTTGCTGGATAAGGACTAATAACCATGACAAGGACTCCAATGACGTCACAAAGCGAGTAGTTTTCGCATGCACCTGGCGGACACTTTTGGCTGAACGAGCAGTCCTATTAGGTTAACTGTTCTTGGGTATGGTCGGCTAAAAAATGTTTATCTCGAAATAATGATTTTGGTACTTAAAATATTATTTACGTCAAGTCTTCATATGATTCATGACAATAGCTTAAACGTTTTATAAAATTTAATATAAATATCTTAAAAATTTTTATTCTGTTTCCAGAGTGATGGAATGGCTGAGAGCTGTTGATTTGGCCGAATACGCCCCTAATCTGAGAGGGGCCGGAGTTCATGGTGGTCTTATGGTTTTAGAACCGAAATTTAACGCAGACTTGCTAGCTTCTTTACTATCTATACCTCCAGGCAAAACGCTACTTAGGAGACATTTAAATACGCATTTTAAAGAATTATTAGGCAAGGATATTATCCAAGAAAAAAGGGAACTGGAAGCTACGATGGGCTATATCCCTCTGACACCAAGTTCAAAATTAAAAGTAAGTACTGACACATTTCATCCTATTATAAAAAGATTAATACAATTGCTTTTTTATTTTTGTTTATAGATAGCTAAAAAATCCCAATTCTCGTTGAAAAGAAAGAAGAGCAAAGGAGAAGCAGATTATGGCGATTTGGTTTGTCCGCTGAATCCCGATAAACAGTCAGGTGATCTGAGTAGCTCATCTCTTAATATGGGTGTAAGTTACTAACTACTAGCCTAACATCATTTAACCGATTTTGTTTCTCAAAACTGACTTAAAAATATTTTAAGAAACATGATTTATTTCAAATCTATTAAATCTTCATTTAAAATTATAGAAAATCATAATAAAGACAGAAACAAAATCTCTAAGAACATTTAAAGGAAAATCTACATGCAGAGACTTGAATTTGATAATAATTTAAACATATGCTTTTTTCATGCCCTCAAGATTCCAGAGATACTCATCATACATTGTTGATTCATTGTGTTATGCCTTATTATGGTGGTGATCTTTCTAGGGTAATTGATGTTAATTACTAACAATTTGCTGTCATAGAAGCTTCATTTTCTTTCTAGAAAAAAAGAAAATGCACAACTATATTTGTTTTAACCTGGCAAATGTGTTGGCCATAAAATGAAATTTTATTTTATGAAATTAATTTATTCTGTCTGCCTTGGACTAGGTCTACAGGATGTTACGAATATTTTGGCCAATAGCTATCTTCGGAAATATATTGGAATTTAAAAAAAAAGTTTAAGTTTTCTCTGAATCACCATTCTTAATCTTTGAATTAATAAAAAACTATCTGAACCATCAAATTTTGACATAAGTTTCTTCTTTTATTTAAATAGAATGCAGTTGAATACACTTTTTTCTCATTTTAAAAAAATAAACTTTTTTGGTGCTTTCTTTAGCGGTTTTAGGTAATATGTTTACCGCCATTTTTTAAAAAGTTGTCTTTGAGATAAAATTAGTTAAAACTAAAAAAATGTCATTCCTTGCCCGGTTTAAATTATAATTATTATAGAATTCATTCTGATTAATTCATTAAATTTTAAATCTATTACTCTAAGAGCTAGCAACGTTTTCGAGAAAGTATTTTAAGACGTCTGGCTCTTTGATATATCTTTTACTATGCTCTCTGGAACAGCATGCGGCCCGTCTGGCTGCCGATACCCCTTGCGTTCACTACTGCGCATCGGAAGAATATCCTATATTTTTTATTAATTTAGTCCTATAAATTCTAGTATTGAATATAAATCGAACGTGTCTCCATAGCGCAGTGCGTAGAGTTTCCGACCACGAACCAGAGTCAGAGTTCGAATCCGGGTCAGGTCAAAGACTTTTTTATTTTATTTTCATTTATATTGTGATAGTAAAGTATTAAATCATTCTGGTAATTAAAAAAACAAATATTTAATACTTTACTATCAGAATATAAACGAAAATAAAATAAAAAAGTCATTGACCTGACCCGGATTCGAACTCTGAATCATCGGTTCGTGGTCGGAAACTCTACGCACTGCGTTATGGAGACATGTTCGATTTATATTCAATACTAGAATTTAAAGAACTAATAAAAATATACAACCTTCTTTCGATGCGCAGTAGGGAACGCAACGTTTACCGGCAGCCAGACGGGCCGCATGCTGTTCTAGAGAGCATAGTAAAATATATATCAAAGAGCCAGACGTCTTAAAATACTTGTTTTTCCGACGTTGGTAGCTCTAAAAAAGCTAAAAAAAGATTCGCAAAAGTTGTGTTGCGTTCAGTTCTCTTCTTTTTCCCACTTCCTTGCTCTATATGTAGCATTATAGCAGTTGTAGAATTAATAAGTCCCTAGAATAGAATGCTGGAATGTTCGATAGGTAATGCAAGACAATTGTTATATTTGGGCGTGGCATTAAGATTTATTTAACAACTAACACTAAACATACACATCAAGACACATTGAATTTATTTTACTCAATAATATGGTTGCATAGATTAGTCGTAGAGCATTATTGACTATTAATTAGATATGTGTAATATTAGATTTGAGCAGGGGTGTTGGCATTCTGCTGCTTTTTTTAGATGTATTAAACTATAGTAACCCCGCTAAGTTGAGGTATTTTTCACTAATATAAGTTAAACATTGCTAAAAAGATTTTTTACTTAAATAAATGGAGTGTCCTGAATTGGAGTCTGGGCCAAGCACATTAAATAAGTTATAAAATAAGCATTTTTTTCTATGAATAATGTAATAGGAAGTTCAACTTACTAATTTTTTTAAAAAAATACAGGCTGATATCGTATGATCGAAAAACATACAAAATGATAGCAATCTTCATTTCGTAGCAATCGCTCACGCCGTTTTTTTTTCAGTCACATAGTACTCGTGTACTCGAAAAAATACTCGGTAAGTACATTTTTAACAAAATACCCAGTGCGTTTCAAAAGTGGCTCACCTCTATAATTTCTTTATTTTTGCAGATAATATGATATATGATATTTATAAATTAGGGTTGATTGAGTTTTTTTAGTCATTTCCTGTTTTACCGGAAATGACTACAACTTTTGATTTTTAAAAGACACCCTGGGTATTTTTTTTACTTTATTCAATAGAAGATGACACTCTGAATAGAAGCCATATCATATGTCAACTTTTGAAATTTTCGCATATGATTTATTTGATTGAAAAACTCGAAACACTAAGTGTGTGGTACCAAATTATTCGTAAAAAATTGTTTTCCAAATATATTAATGAGTCACCCTTGTTCCATTACAAAAAATTGAGATATGATTAAAAATATGATTTGGCCATCTTTTAACCGGCCGCACAGTGGGGTATTTGACACAGATATTTGATCGAAATTTTTTTATGTAGACCTTATATAAATTATTGCTATTTTCAATTAAAGAGGAAATAATATGAACAAAATAAACGATAATTCGTCGATTCTAAAAAAAGAAAGCAAAATCATTGTTCCAGTGTTTCCACGGTCAACGCCACTAATGCCAGTAGTAATATCGCAACTAATACTACTAATGCTACGACTGATCCGCGAGCAATGCCCATACCACTAAAGTCGCTACTAATGCCAAATTGTGCTATACTGCTAATGGCACTAATGCGATCGCTTTGTACACAACAATGCCATCGCGGTTTACACCTCGCATTAGTATATCACTGATTGGCGAATTAGAGGAAACCAAGAATGTTCTTCTCATTTTATCAGCAAAGTCGCAAAAAGTCGCAGTATTTTATTTTACTGTATGAAAGCCCAATGTTTACTAAGTAAAACGTATATAGACAATATGCTGAATTCTTCGAAATGCGCAACTAAATCTCTAAGTATAATAAAAATGTCACAAATTTAATCAAATTTTCTGAACGCCTAACTTTTAGTTGCAAAAAAAATCGTTAGTATAGAGAATATCAAAATAAATAATACGTTTTTGTAGAATACATACCTGCAGCTTGCTGAGCCATTTGCAATCAAAACAATAATGTAAACGTAAAAAGAGCACAAGAACAACAACAATTTATAATTTTAAACATAAAATTTAGCCATTTACCTCTTATCTGTGAGAAGTAACAACCTTGACGTTTCGTTGAAACAAATGAATGCAACTAAACACACCCATAGCAACGCCATTCATGGCAGAGATGATTTAACTTATCATTTATCTTTTTTTGGGAAATCTTAAACACATTTGCTTTTTCGAATTTCGACCACCTTTTTCATGCTAATACCACACCGTGGGCCGTGACAAGACGATATACAATAGACGATCTAATCTATATTTCCCAGGATCCTTGATTAAAAATTAGTGTTTTTAGCACAGCCTAGACAACTCTAGATTAAAATTTAAAATACGATTTTCTCTTAAGCGAAAACGCCAAAAGTTGAGTGTCATTTTCTATTGAATAAAGTAAAAATGTGCCATTTAAAAATTAAAAGTTGTAGTCGTTTCCGGTGAAACAGGAAATGACCAAAAACAACTGAATACGTCAATCAATCCTATGTCATATACTAACATACCAAATATCGTTTTTTATCTAAAAAAATAAAAAAAACTCATAGGGGTGAGCCACTTTTGAGACGCACCCGGTAGGTGGACATTTTCACAGAATATAGGGTGTTATATTATGTCATAATCTATACCTGGTGGTTTTTGAAATATAAAATTATTTATGGATTGTGATTTTTTTCACGTAATCAAAGATTTCTAAAAAAACGGTGTCAGAGTTGGCTTGGAAATGACGATCACCAAAGTTATACCAAATTGGTATAAACCTTTTTGGTTAGGCAATAAAGTGCCGCTATTTGTGTTTAGCTAATGTATATTAATCCATTTAACAAAGTAAAAAATCTTGACAAAATTTGTATAAACCTTTCAACTAAATCTTGTGTTTTGGGTATAGATGATGAGGATGGGAAACCAAGAGGCAGAGGATGCCTATCTTCGCGCTGACCTAAGTTTGGCCTCTAGATCACTCCCAACATCAGTTAGAAATTCCCCCGTGACTTTGAGACACGTTTAAGCGATTTTTTACGTTTCTCAATTACATTTTAACTATAAAGTCGATATTATTTTGAATTATTTGAATAAACTCGACGTTTAATTGATGAGTAAACAAACAGGTATATCGTCATCTATCAAATCTACATAATTATTGAACAAAAAGACTAAAAGAAGTAGTACATCAATAAAATATTTGGAAATATAATGAGCTTTTAATATGACTGACTTTTATTCGGGATTACCTGTAGCATTCAATTTGTGTACCGGGTGGGTCAAATTGGACGCTTTTAAAGGGAACACTTACGCTTTTAAAACTAACTAAAATTCATAAAATGACATGTCCGAATTATTTTAGACATGTTTACGGATCTGTTTACTACTCAAGACACAATAATCACATAATTACTGAAGTTTAATTAAGTTTTTCTCATAAGATTCAGAATAATCTCACTAAATTAAAGTCCTGACACATTGACTTTCTAGAGTTGAACACTGCATAAAACTAAGTACAAAGTCAAAAAGAAATAAACCCAGAAAAGTGCAGCAATCCCGCAAAAATTCAATAAAAAAACTGGGAAAAACTATATGACTACTTTATAGTCTTTTTATTCAGTGTATTTATAAAGGCCTTATAGATATCTGATATTATAGTAAAAAGTATCTAATCAAGAACAATGACATTTAACAGCGCTTTTTAGCTTCAGATTGTGACGATATACTTCAAAAATACAATCTGTACTTCTAAATAATGTATCTATTCCCACAAACGAAAGTATAGATCTAATATTTCAAATATTCCAAGTATTATTGTTAAAAAGTATTTTATATCATAGTGTCTTCCCCCAAAAACACCCTGCCTTAGAGAAAATGTGAATAAATTTTAAAACACGTTATCCAATCCATATTGTAAAAAACTGACATAAACATGTTATTATGCAAAAATTGTTTCTAACCTAGGTATGTGTTTATTAACTCCAGTAAAACTTGTAAATATGGGTTATTTAACATTCTGTTCTATCGTAAATTTTGTTTTAATTTATATACTTTGCCGTAGGTTATCAAAATTATATTTAATCTGTTAACTGAGAATTTATTTTAAATTGTATTTGGAAAGAACTAGAAGTATATAATATATAAATAACTTCTGTATTAGCTGTTAATATTTTAATAAACAATTTAAGTGTTAATATTTGGAAGTTATTAAATTTGTTAGATTTTTAATGATGGAAAATCTAAAAAAATATTTCTTCAACTTCCTTTACTGTTTATATATACAGGGTGTCCCACTTAAGATGGATACAAGCCGATATCTTGATTGTTTGTTGAGCGATCTTTTTCATTTTTTGCAGGAGGCTGTATGGCTATAAGACGTACATTTTGCCCAGGGTAAGAAATGCGATACCGCATAGACGTACGTTTTAATGGGGTTTGATATTTTTCGAGTCAAGAGTAAACTACCCTTTAGGACAGTATTTATTTCAAATCTGATAAATTATATTGAATCCTCCTTACCTAAGATACTTAAGTTCTAATTTTGATAAATATTGATACAGGGTGTGTCATTAAAATAAGACATTTTTATTTTTATTATTATTTTTTAAGTATTTACGACGCCACTGGATAAACTACTGGTTTATAATCAATAACCAATTATAACCAATTATAAATTAATAATCGTTTTTTTATGGTGGTTTGGTCGAAGATGTTGACTTTTAGTTCGTTATAGTTTTATAAATCTTTGTTTAGAGCATATTTTTCAAAAGTAAACAAAATAAATTGAAAATATTTAGTTTTTTTGCAATTATTATGGAAGTTATCTGAAAACTTAAATCGATTATTAATTGATAATTGGTTATTGATAATAAACCTGTTGTTTATCCAGTGGCGTCGTAAGTACATAAAAAAATAATAATAAAAATAAAAATGTCTTATTTTAATGACGCACCCTGTATCAATATTTATCAAAATTACAACTTAAGTATCTTAGGTAAAGAGGATTCAATATAATTTATCAGATTTGAAATAAATACTGTCCTAAGGGTAGTTTACTCTTGACTCGAAAAACATCAAACCCCATTAAAACGTACGTCTATGAGGTATCGCATTTCTTACCCTGGGCAAAATATACGTCTTATAGCCATACAGCCTCCTGCCAAAAATGAAAAAGATCGTTCAACAAACAACCAAGATATTGACTTGTATCTTAAGTGGGACACCCTGTAGGTAGCTCAAATTATTATTGACTATTTTAATTTTTAAATTTATGTTCTAGTTTTATTAAATAATGCATTTCTGTGTAGCTATCTATATCTACATACTATAAAACAGATAATATATCTGTAGATGTCTAATAGTAATTTAAATTACATCAAGATATGTATTTTCAAGAATAGCATCTCAATGATTTATCAATACTAAATGTAACCCATCCTTCTAAAGACAATATAATCCATAAGTGTAGGTTTTATACATTTTTTTGATTCCCTATTTCCTTAAAGAACATTTATAAGTGTTTTACAAGATAGATAAATATATTCCTAAAAGAAATACAATAATGTTAACCAATTTGACTGGATTTTGTGCCAAAAGGAAACGAAAAAAACAAAAAATTGTACAATCTTTTTTATAAAAGCTTTTTTATACAGCAAAGTTTTATGCTCAAGTATTATAAAAATATGGATTTGTTAAGTATTTTTGAATATACAAAATCTACAAGCAGTATCAGAAGTAAAAAGATTTCAAATAATATGTTTAAAAAATGCTGTATAAAGAAACTAAAAATCAAATGAACATAAATATTGGATATGTTACCATAACATGTTGATTTTAGAAAACTTTACAAACTGACCAAATAATAGAAAAAGAGAGAGAACTACACTGACCATATCATATAGGTCTTAGATGTAGAGTAAGATCTAATCACGTTTTGTGTGTTAATTTATTTTAGTTCTATAAACAGGTATTCTTATTTCCATTGCCAAAAGCCATATCACACAAAGTTTCACACAACATTTGTTTAGGGTAAATAAATTCGGGGCATTTTTTAATTAGCCTGTTATTATTATCTAAGAGTATTTATATTTGTGGTACTAGCAGCTTTTTCTGTAATTTGTAAAAACATACAACCTTGCATTTTTGTATTGTAATATTTATAACATATTTTTTGTAATTGTTTGAATTATACATATTTTAATATTGTATTTGACTTAAGAAATACATTTTAAAACCAATTTTCTTGATTTCCTTTCAATTTTCCCTTTATACTTATAACATTGATTAGTAATGTCACTGACAGTTACTGTCAATAGTATTAACAAAATTATTTGTGTAAAAGATGAGCTAAATTCCTGTTAAAATGTCGCATTAAATAAAAAATGCTTCCTCATTCTATTTCAATAAATCATGGCAAAAGAACTATTTTTAAGGCAATCGGAAGAACAGACTTTGGCAGCGAGAGGTTATCGACTTTTAAAAAAACTGGGCGAAGGCAAGATAATTACAAGTTTTTAACAAATAAAATATAAAAAATCTCTTCTTATTTAAGGTTCTTACGCAAATGTTTACCTAGCAGAATTTTTTACAACTTCAGATGATAAGCAGAACAGGTTCTTAGCATGTAAAATAGTGGATGTATCAAAGGCTCCAAAAGATTTTGTGAAGAAATTTTTGCCTAGAGAGTTGGATATCTTAGTCAGACTGAACCATCCCCATATTATACACATCCACAGTATCTTTCAGAGGAAAACAAAATATTTTGTATTCATGAGAAATGCTGAAAATGGCGATTTACTAGAGTACATTTTAAAAAAGGTTAATAGAATTTATAATAAGGATTTTAAATACTCAGTCTTGGAATTTAGGGTCCAGTCTCTGAAGCTCAAGCAAGAGTTTGGGTAAGGCAACTTGCCCTTGGTATTCAATATCTTCATTGTATGGATATAGTTCATAGAGATCTTAAATGTGAAAATTGTTTGATAACTTCAAATTATAATTTAAAACTAGCCGATTTTGGATTTGCAAGGTTTACTGTTGATAGTTCAGGAAAACAAATGCTGAGCAGCACTTACTGTGGCTCTCTATCGTATGCCGCTCCTGAAGTTCTAAGAGGCATGCCTTATTATCCTAAGATGGCAGATGTATGGTTTGTATTTTAACTAGTATCATAAGTTGTACATTCTAAGCTGTTAAAATAAGTAGGTCCTGTGGGGTCATAATATATGTAACATTAAACAAGGCAATGCCTTTTGATGATACTAATGTTAAAAAACTTCACGAGTTACAAATTAATAAAAGATGGAAATTTCGATCCAAAGTTGTGGACTCTCTGTCAGACCAAGTAAGGACAAATAGATATATTTATGTAAAACATCGGTTACTGATATATTTCTCAAAAGGTTAAATACTTGGTTACACGTTTACTAGAACCAGATAGTAATAAACGATGGAAAATTGAAAAAGTAGTTGATTCAGAATGGATAGCTATGGATGCAAGATTCAAAACTATGAGTAAAGCAGAGGATACTGCTCTGACTCAAGCCAATGCTGAAAGAAAAACTTACATTGAGGGTGCCACTAAATAATTGGAGTATTTAATGCCTATATTACTATTGTCTTTCTATTTTAGGATTAAATAAAAAGGCAAGAGAGTCTCAAGTAGGTGGCAGTGTGAATGATGATTTGAAGGTTTTGAAACCGACCACTACCGAGGATCACGTCCCCAGAACTGATATTCAAAGTGCACTTACAGTGCCCCATGATTAAAACAATTTATTTACATGATTGGATGGGAAATAAATCTAAATATAATATAATAATATACCAACTCCGTCACGATTCTCTCTTGGATTTAAAAGTATTAAATTCTTCATCAAACTTCTCTAGTGTTATATCACAAACTTTGACAAGATCTTCGAGGCCTCTTTTTAAAGCATCAATGGCTTTTCCGTTATACATTTGTATGCGGACGTGCATCTTGTTTTCGGCAGGATGCGGCACGGAATAACCACAAAATTGTACATCTGAACTACAAATACAAGACACAATATTATTGATATCGAAAGAAGCAAGTGAGTAGAATAATGTACTTACTAATTTGATATAATACATCTCAGAGCATTACCCAAAGTATGTCCCTCTCCTTGAAATACAAAAGTTTTATTTCCATCATTAGACACTCCACTACTGGCTAACTAAATTAGTGTGTAGAATTAATATTCATTTGAATAATTTATTACCAAACTACATTACCTGAGCAACCGGCATAATTTGTTTAATAAATCAACTCAAAAAAATATATCTTTTCTATCTTAATAAGAAATTTTTGTATTGCAAAATATCAAATATGAAATGCATAGATGAAATGGTCAGTGTTGTTACATGGGCAAAAATTTTTGTACTATAAATGGTGTCGAAATTGTACTTTTTTAAGTGGGATTGTACATTTTTGGTGGAAAAATGTGTGTCATGTGCTCTTACCCTCTTTATTTACCAAGTTTTGGTACGTCTAAAGACAGAAGACAGAGTTCAGGTAGGATTAAGTAAGGTATTCGAAACTAATAGCCGCCGACACGTTGGCATTATTTGAAATGCAGGTCGCATAGGAGCATGCCACCTGATAGAGGATGCAACTCCATAGGAGTATGATCTGAATTAAACCCTCTGTTCCTAGCAACCTGCATTTCAAATCCACGCATCGCGTATCACCGTTCGTCTAAAAATGCATATGTATACAGTACGTTTGTCCGTTCTGTAGCTCCGGGGTATCCGTGAGAGGGGAAACGATATTTTCTCGATGTTTTTCGTAAAAAATTAGATGACGCGTCTCATCAATAAAAATTCGACAAATTTGCAAGTAGCCAATAAAGTGAGTGGGCGGAGCGATTTGCGGTGACGCACTCGTCAAATCGACGTATAAAATATATTGCTGTTTATTTAAATATTTTTTGCCCGCATTCCTTTCATAGACACAGATCCAGCAGATGTACAGTACGTGGGTTTAAGTTTGGGTTAGTTTTGGTTTGAGAAGTAAGAATTGTACATTTTTTCTTGCAATTGTACCTATGTACTCCTTGACTATCAAATGTACCCAAAATAGTACAATTGTACCTATTGTAACAACACTGGAAATGGTTACAAACATAAAATAATAAATACAAGAAGAAGTGTCAAGTCAATGTTAAATTATGGAAACAGCGTGGCTGCCTGGGTAACTAATTTTCAGATATGGCGGCTGGGACATTTGACATGATTTGACATGACATAGACACTTCATTGACATGACAATTTCAATTTTATGAAATTTATTTCCGTTTCCGGTTTTTAATGGCGGGCTGTTCAGGAGGTTTAAATGAGGGTTAATATACTTTTTACTTTTTCTAGTAGTAAATAATACAACAAAATTACTCAAAAATATTTATTTGGAATTTAGAACAATGTAAATGTGCAAATCAACACAATTAAAGAGCTATAAACCCATAAACTACTGTATCAATATCAAAATATTTAAATAACATCAGAGATGCTGTGTTAAAGTGAATTAGTAAAGTAACAATGCACTGACTTACAGAAACTTGAAGATAAATAAATGTTTTCACAGCTTCACGGGCGTAAAACTAACTGGAAGCAGGAAAAAGACAACAGGAACCCACGCAAAACCTGGAATCAAAAAAAAATATGTAAAAAAAACATGAATATAGGTACATAAGACTGTTATGAATTAAATCAAACAGGACTTGAATGAAAATAAAATGAATAAAAAATATGATACCTATGCATCTAATACCTCATTTGTATTTTAAAAATAATCTACATACATAGCATTATTGCTATGAAAATACATAATAGGTACCTATGTGATATATAATTACGCATTTCTGTTCATCTTGTAGATAATTAATATAGGCTGTAGGCTAATAATAGTTCAGTAATCATAATTTACCTTGTGTAACTTGCTTTCAATTGCTCAAAATCACCGATCGGTCTTTAAAGTAGAGATACGGAAAAATCCTTGGTAAAGAATATCCCAAGATCCTTGGATCTAATGCTAAAATAATATAAAAACAGTTAATTTATTATACCTATTTTTACATAAAATATGGCCCATACCTACTACACGCAGAAACGTCGATTTCATCATTTTCTTCATGTAATTAATATCATATATACTTTATTAAAGTGTTAACAAGGAACTTTATATCAAAAAACATCTTTGTACTTATAAATTTCAGCCGAAATATCATAAACAAACTTCCATTCAAATCTAAAACGGCAAAAATTAAAATGGCGCCCGACCTTGCCAGCCAGAGGCCTCGGGAGTTGACACATGGCTGACACACAGACAAAAGAAGAGGACGCCGACGTGCATAAAAATGTTCCGTAATTGAAATTGACAGAAATCATATAGAAATATTCAGATTTTTGTCTAGGACAGTCTAGAAGGCCATGCTTTCTGCCTGGGTAAGACCGCGCCAGAACTGTTTCCAATTTTCCGGTTTACTGTCACCCCCCTGGTTACAAAAAAATACTTTTTGTTTTTTTAGGTTAGTATTGACCATAGAAAAATAATGCTGACAGGGATGCTGTAAACACGTTTCTCTAGTTTTTATAGTTTGGCAAAAAGTACATGTAAAAAACGTAAAAATCCGTAAATAAGAGATAAAAAATACAAAAATAGAAAAAATGAATTTCCCGTCCTTTGAGATCTACCTCGTGGATCTATCTCAAATTTTGACACCAATAAAGAGTAAATCAGACATAAATTAAAATATTTTTTTACGATGGTAGCGGTCAGAGTTCGGAAGTAGTTAACTAAGACGTAATTTACCTGATTAACTACGTGTAGTTTTTCTTCAAAAACTACGTCTTTTCCCGTTCATTAACTACATGAAAACTACGTTGATAAACTATGTATTGATATTATCAATAATTTTTCTTTGTATGAGGTGTAATAGAGATAATATGATGTAAATATTATATTTAATGCCATATTTCTTCTGTTTTCTTAAATACATTATGTGTTTTTAAAGCTTCAACTTATTATACCCTCACCTCAAACCTTTGACATTTGAAAGTTACATACATAGGTTACATAAACTACACCCTCTACATAAACTACATTAACTACATGTAATGTAGTTTATGTAGTTTTTAAAAGTAACATGTAGTTTTCCGAACGCTACTAGCGGTAGCTCGCCCCAAGGATAGGGTTCGGAAGTAGTTAATTAAGACGTAATTTACCTGATTATCTACGTGTAGTTTTTCTTCAAAATCTACGTCTTTTCCCGTTCATTAACTACATGAAAACTACGTTAATAAACTATTTATTGATATTATGAATAATTTTGCTTTGTATGAGAGATCTAAATAATATGATGTGTGAATATTATATTTAAAGCCATATTTGTTCTGTTTTCTTAAATACATTGTGTTTTCTAAAGCTTCAACTTATAATAACCTCGCCTCAAACCTTTGATATTTGAAATCAATGTTACATACATAGGTTACAAAAACTACATCCTATACATAAATTACATTAACTGCATGTAATGTAATGCCAAGGATACTATAGCCAGGGTTCGAAAAACTACATGTTACTTTTAAAAACTACATAAACTACATTACATGTAGTTAATGTAGTTTATGTAACCTATGTATGTAACTTTCAAATATCAGAGGTTTGAGGTGAGGTTATAATAAGTTAAAGCTATAAAAACACATAATGTATTTTAGAAAACAGAAGAAATATGGCTTTAAATATAATATTTACATCATATTATCTCTATTACACCTCATACAAAGAAAATTATTCATAATATCAATACATAGTTTGTTCACGTAGTTTTCATGTAGTTACTGAACGGGAATAGACGTAGTTTTTGAAGAAAAACTACACGTAGTTACAGGTAAATTACGTCTTAATTAACTACTTCCGAACCCTGACTATAGCTCACCCATCCTTGTTTACAGAGCCTCTCGTGTGGCGACATCTACATACTCATGTAGTAGATACCAGATAATTATTACATGAAAATATTGATTAATAAATAGGATACTTTAACAAATATCGTAACACTTTCATTTATTTGGTTTCCGAGGTATCTTAGGTTAGGATTATTTAAAGTCGCAATATTTTTGAGGCTTAAATTTAATTAAAATATGTTATAATGTCTTCAAAAGCAGTCAAAGTAAGTGAAAATATTAACTTTTTAATTTTTCTAATTTTTCCCTTTTCGTCCGGTAGTCCGTAAAAGGCTTGGGAATATTTAAAAAACAGGGATTATTTGATAAAGGCGTAGGAGCTCTTCTTCCAGAGGCCTACAAGAAATTTTATAAAGAATGGAGACTTACCGAACCTACCGCCGTACATTATATTCCTGAAGAAGGAAAATGGAAACGTGATGAATTAACTGGTGAAGTGTAAGATTTTTTCTGTTATATGTTGTTATCTATTTACCTTATGTCTTTTTTCAGTATTCCTATTCAGAATATCCCTTTGCCATTATCTTATCCAAAAGAACATAATAACCATCTTTGGGGTGGGGAAGCAGTGGTACAGGGTTTTCAAATTAGGGACAAATTTCGGAGAAGAGTACCTCATTTTTGGGTTCCTGTTTTGAAAAGGTCTGTGGTTCACACAGAGGTGCTAAACAAGTTTTTTTCAGTTATTGTAACTGATAGGACCATACGATTGATAAATTCTAATTATGGATTTGATCACTACTTATTAAAGGTAAGTGCAAACTAATATTTCTAAGTTCTAAGGTATACATGTAAAATCTAGCAGTTATGTGGTATACCAGTTATGTAATAAAAATACTTCATATTTTTCCCTCTCTGACTTATTAGACGGCCCTGTGTGTGCTTAACAATAGAAAACTATTAGGTTTTTTATAAGTTGGTCATAAAAATGTTTTTTAATCATTAACTTTAATAAACCTTACAGGTAAATTATTATTGTTTCCGAAATGCGTCTTTATTTGTTGAAATTAGCAATTAATTTTGCCAAAAAAAAACATCTATTGAGTTAATTGATTTAGTTATCTAATCTTTGAAATTTGTAGTCTGAATTTTATTGGTGCTTGGGGTAATTCATTTGTATAGTTCTATAATCTAGGATTAAAAAATGAATAAAATTCTTTTTTTGAACGCAATAGAATCCTTAAATAATTTGCGATTAGATATTGTGCAAGGTTACGATACGCGCCACCGTAACCTGAAGGTTAACTGCTTAAGTACTGTAAATTGAACTTGAACTTAACATTATTTATTGCATTTTAATATCTTGTGTTTTCAAATTAGTACGACTGGAATTGTTTAAGACAAAAAAATGTAAATTTTCATATTTATACCGGGTGTGTCTCAAAAATGGCTCAACTCTATAACTTTTTTATTTTTTCAGATAAAAAAAAGCGAGATTTTGTATGTTAGTATATGATATAAATTAGGATTGATTAACGTATTCAATTATTTTTGGTCACTTCCTGTTTCAGCAGAATCCAGAAATGACTACATTTAAAACAAAATGACTTTGTTTTTAAATGACACCCTCCATAATTTTTTACTTTGTTCGATAGAAATTGACACTCTGAATAGAATGACATTTCATATGTCAACTTTTGACGTATTTTAAATTTCTATATAGAGTGCCATGGCTGTGTTAAAAACACTAATTTTTAATCAAGGAGCCTTGGAAAAATAGTTTTGATTATCTAATGTTTTTAGTGTCTTGTCCTGGCTGGTTAAAAGATGCCCAAATCGTATTTGTAATATTAACTTTTTCAAACAGAACGAGTGTGGTTCATTAGCATATTTGGAAAAAGCATTTTTTTACGAATAATTTGGTACTAGGTGTTTTGAGTGAAGTTGTCGTTATAAACCGCATGTTACAATTTCAAATAAACCTTATTATGCGAAAATGTCAAAAGTCAAAAATCAATGACGAATGATATGTCATTCTATTCATAGTGCCATTTTCTATCGAATAAAGGGAAAAAATACCGAGGTACCATTTCAAAATCAAAAGTTATTGTCATTTCCGGTGAGACAGGAAGTGACCGAAAATAATTGAATACGTCAATCAATCCTAATTTATGTCATATGTCATAATATATACCGAGTCATAACATACCAAATCTCTTTTTTATCTGAAAAAAAAATAAAAAAGTTATAGGGGTGAGCCACTTTAGAGACGCACCCGGTATATTTGACCAATTTTAATTTGTTATTTTAGGTAGTTTTATTTATAGGAATCAATACTTGAAGATTAATACACTTGTTTATGTTTACTAAAACACTTAACTTATTTTAAATGGAGCTGTAAAGATAACAAGTTATAAATACTTTTACAATTTTAAATATATAATCATAATCATACAACAACGTATTAAAATCTTAGAAATAAAAAAGGATTCATAACTGTTAGTAAACAAACATTTGACAAATTAACGCTACAGTTTCGTTTGATCTAATTGGAATTAGAAATCATTAACTAATTTAAGTGGCTGAACCTATAAACATTTGATAAAAACTAAACGGCGTTAAGGTAGGCGTATAAATGCAGATCAATGATAATTTTATGCTAGTCGGCCCCTAATGCCGTTTTATTAAAAGGTAACATAAAAACTTGATAGAAATTGTGTTCTGTGTGAAATCAAAAAAACGGTTTCAAGTTGGCGCGGAAATAACGATCGATGTTATTTACTATACAGGATGAGTCTTTAATAAGTGCAAATATTTTTAGGGGTAGTATATTTCGACCCTAGAAACTTTTTGGAAATTTTTAACATTTTTAGTTAAAAAATATAATGTCTTCATAATATGGCAACATTGGAAACATAACAAATTAAAAAAAAAACTTTTTTTTGTGTTGATAACCCCTAAATTATTAATCTTAAAAATATACCTAAACCATTAAATTGTAGGTAAAAAGGTGCTTTGGAAAACTTTTGATAAAAATACAAAATTTTCCATAGCAAAAAAGTTACAGCAATTTATTAAAAATACACATATTTGAAAAATATAATTCTGAAACGGTAACAGATATTGCAGTTTTTACCATAATTTTTAAATAAAAATTGAGCTCTAGATACCAATATTAGTTTTTGTCTATCTCTAGAGAAAACTATTTTAAAAATAATTTTAAATTATTAGAAAACATAGTAAACGACTTGAGTATTTGCTTTGAGAATTAGGAAATCTTATTCATAATTATACTTACTGATTTCTAAGAATTGTTTCAACTAAGATCCTTCTTAAGTCAGTTGTCTATATGTATAATATAATCTAAGGTCTAAGGAACTTTGTGGTGAGTTCATATCTTGAAAAAAGTCTGGGGTTTTTGTTATATAATAATTAATCTATTACATTTGGGGGATGTAGATCATCTACCTATAGCATCCTGTATGATGTTAGCATATGTCGTGTGAAACGCCAATGAGGAAAATGCATGTTTTTTATAATGGTTTTAAAAAATAGTTCATATAATTACAAATTGAACAAAAAAAAATCGTTGATATCGGTTAAGAAATGCCTCTAATATAAAATAATTAAATATTGTTAATTTAAATGGCCGGGCAAACGCTCTCTACTGCGCCTTGCCGCTGTGACGTCACCCGCCGTTCTTCTGGTTGAGTGGAGCCAGACGCGTGTTTATTTTACACAGTTTGCTTTAAACGCTGTTGAATCCGAGTCAAAATTTTAGTTATTTGTGTTAATTAATACATAATTAGTAATTAGTGATATTTTTAAATAGTAATGGATGAGTGAAAACAGAAAAAAATGGTCCAAGGCCATGAGAAGAGATGCAAAGAAAAACGTTAAATTATCCTCTATTTTTACGATTTATTGTTGTGAAGATCATTTTGATGTAAGTTCATATATTTATGTATATTGTCTTACATAGGTATATGAAATTTGAATGTACAGGGTTTTTCATTATATTTTGACACCCACATACAGCCTTAACTGCAAGTTTTAGAATAAAACATTAAATAAAAAAGTTGCATGGTTTTTCATATACTCTCTTTTAAAATTAATTCTAGTTATACAGGGTATCTCAAAAAAGGTGGTGCAGAAAATTGTAGGTATTTTTCGCTTTTCAACTGTCAATATTTCGTAAACATTTGAAGATAGGTATAGGATATTATACATGAAATATATCTAGAATATCTAGAAATTTCCTAAGGATGCAAAAATATATAGGGGTTTTCACTTAAAAAAGTAACTTAATTTGGCGTAATTATGGGACACCTTGTATAATATTTTCATTACTGATAAACAATTTATTTCCTATAATTTCGTAAAAAAACAATCTTTGAAAATAACAAGGGCAAGGGGGTGTCAATATATAAAAAAAAACTTTCTTTTTCACGCTATGCTCTGGAGTTATTTTTCCACGTACTAAACAAATATTTTTGTCTCTTTTCACTTCTACATAACCTACAGCATTATCTCCATACGTCTCCCTACCTGATCTGAAAAATAAGTTTATAATATTAATTTATAACTATATAAAAGTTCGTAACAGTAGGTACCTACTTATACTTAAATATGCCTCAGTACTACAAAGAATAAATGTTACATACCTCTCTGTTTTTTTCCTCGTAATTCAGCACCAATAAATTGGGAATTTGTATTTATAAAAGCAGCCAACTTAAAAGCATCGACTTTTGGCAAGTTATCTGATTGTGCTTTTACAAACCCGGAATCTGCCATTACTTAAAAAATTCTCAGAACACACAACACATACAAATAATAACTGCACAAAAAAAGCATAAAAAGCTCCTTCAATCAACGCTAAAAGCAACAAAAATGTCTTAGTACGCCACCTAAATACGTACATAAACGGAACACGTCTGGCTGTTGCTGGCCATCGCGCGTCGACGAGAACGGCGGGTGACGTCAGACCAATAGAATCGTTTCAATTCGCGAGGCGTCGTTTGCGTTATCCATAGTATTTTAATGGCCCGTTTTATAAAATTGTGGTACTGCTTTCAAGAAAAAATTTTTTTTCATTTACACATATTTATTCTAATAAATTGAACAGTTTCTGGCAAAAAATAAAATATATGCATCTTCCTCATTTCAGATCGAGTTAAGTAAGATGCAAGGCTATAGAGAAATGTCGTCAATTCTCTGACTGTCTTCCGTTTTAACTCATATGCAACTCTTAGTCCGCGGTTACATTGGACGCGGGTCCGTGCGTTTTTTTGAACGTGCGAGCTCTGACGGAATTTACTCGCACGACTATTTTATTTTAGTGGTTACATTAGATGCGCATTCATGGTGTCCTGTGTGTCGAGTTTGTCAAAACGGACGCCACTACTTTGATGCTATCTGAAGATTTAATGTTAAAATAACTACTTATAAACAGAAGAAAATGTTAGGTAAATTATTTATATGCAAGAAAAGGGGAAGAAAATTAATATGTAAAACATTTGGTGAATTAAAACAGCAACCGGTGAAATTTTTTGAATATTTTAGAATGTTTCCAACAACATTAATATATCTAAAATAAAAATAAACCTGGTATTCAAAAATATTCAAATTTTTCGGGAATGTATTGGGCCCAGAGATATAATAATTCGAACGCTCGGACGTGCACGTATTAAAAAAACAAACCAGTTTGTTTTCATCCGACCAACGGAAATCGACGTACGTGCACGGACGCGCAAACTCCGATGCAAAGTAACCGCCTGCGTAGATACCATTTGCTTGTTTTTTGCTGCGTGCACGTACGAGCACATACGACCAAAAAAACGCACGGACACGCATCCAATGTAACCACGGGCTTAGCGTAAAACATAGATGGCGTTAAACTGTAATTTTTATCTTTCAGACTCCGGCATGCGATTTAAAATCATTACTTGCACTGAGCCTCAAAAGAAAAATATTAAAAGAATTGGATGCTGGGTGTCCTTTATATAAAAATCAGCCAGAGATCCAATCGCGATTGTTAAATAAATATGGGAAATATTTGGAAGCGGTAGGTAGTCCAACATACAGGGTAGCGCACCTCATTCGCCTCGGTTGATTATACGAAAACGGAAAGATGTAGAAACTTGCCATGAAGACATCAGCCATCTTGGTTGCCGTTTTATTGAAGAATGGCTCTTTATTCAAAATCTGAGCCAGATAGGAAACCCTAATATAGTTTGAAAGAGCATTTGAATCTGCTTCGATTTATTTAAAAAAATACAAGGTGTTGTATTTGAAATAACGAAGTTTTTATGTAAAATGAATATTTAAAATAGACCAGCAGTTTTTGATACCCCTGTATACATTAAACGAAGCAATCAAATTTTTCAGTAGATTTTACTTATCGGACTTAAAAGTCAGCAGAAGAATTAGTTCTGAAAAGCAATGTACAGGGAGTTAATAATTTATTGTATTGTAGCATGCATTTTTAAATATCTTTAAATATCTCAAAAACCAAAGATTTTAAACATATTTAACCCTTCTTATAAATACCTTTTTTTGGAAGAATCCAAAAATTAAATAAAATACCGGGTGTGTTCCATAAGAAAAAATATAACTTTCGTATGGATCTTAGTTCTGAAACACTCTATACATTTCAAAATAATTTTAAATTGTACACATACCACATATACCCGTAAAATATTTTGTTTCTACATCTTTCCGTTTTCGTATAATCAACCGAGGCGAATGAGGTGCGCCACCCTGTACATATGTTGTAATATTTTTACTCAATTTGTACTTTTTTTAGTACACAAGTGAAGAAATTGATTGGTACGGATATTCATATACCGAAGCGTGCAATAGGATTCAGAAACAGATGGAAGAAGGTGAAAAGAAAGTACCTTTGAAGTACATTTATCGTGCCGAATTAATAGACAAACTTAGAGCGGCAAAATTGGAGGAAGCTATGAGTCAGTCCTTGAAGTCTAGGTTAGTATTTTGCATTTACACTGTAGGCACGACAGAGTCTAGGGTCGGTATTTATTTGTCATTTCGATCTCGTAACTGCTGCTCACGTAGGAATAAGAGAGGCGAGGCGTGACAGGTGTTACTAAAGGATGATTCACGGTACATCGGACCGTACCCGAGCCGGGCACGTTCCGTAAAGTAGACACCGAGCCACGTCCGGGCCTTCAATATATGCAACACCGAGTGGACAACGGGGATCATGTCCGTGCCGATTATATTCTAGAAAACAGTGTTGCCGCAGTGGTACATTTGTACCAAATTTGATACTTTTAATTCTATTTGGTACAGTGGTACTACATTTTCAAATCCAGGATGATTCGGTATAATAATTATTTCCCACGCGCACCAAAAATGAATATATATTTAATAATTATCGTCGTTGATATTGCATTAAACGCGCTTACCGATACCATTCGGAGACAATCCGCATTAATTAACGACGTATTATAAACGTTGTAATGTCTATAGGGTTGCATATATTAAATAACCCGAAGAAAAAAACTTAAAAATTTTCTGTTTCTAACATGCTTCTATATTTGCGTTTTTTTTAATAAAATTTAAGTTTTCCAAGTATCGTGTGTAGTATTAGAATTACTTACATTTCTTCAACCTATACATACTTATAATTGGGTTTTCTGAATTTCTATTTCATGTTTTTCGTCTCGATTTGTGTCTTTCTCCAGGAAGTTTTTTTATGTAGAAATTTATGAAGAAATTCACAACGACCAAACCGGTTAAAGTCATTTGCAGATGTATTTTGTTGTGCTTTATTTTTTTAATTGTACCAAAGTGGTACATTTTTAGTTTATAATGTTGTACGCGCTAAAAGTTGGGTGCGGCAACACTGCTAGAAAACAGTCGCTATAGGCCCGTAGACGAACGAAGTATTTAGCCGCGGCGGCTCATTTATGTTTGCCGCAACGGGGCCGAACCGTAGCGGTTCCGAGGAAAAATGTACACCGGCATTTCTTTGGCGGGGCACGGACGCGTTCCGGCGAAGCTCGGACCGTGCTCGGCTTAGCATGAATGTATAAGTATAAATAACATTTGACAATGTTTGGCCGTGCCTTCACCGTCGCACGGCTCCGGCCCGTCACGGTGTACCGTGAATCATCCTTAAAACGGGATCAGCGGATCAGTCAGCCATATTGGAGTCTTTGTATCATTTGTGCATTTTCCTTAAAATTTAATGTTTTTCATCGTTAATTTGAGTGTTTTTAAACTGGTAGTATATTTTGACCCCAGAAACACGCCTATGAGGTTTAAAAAAATTGTTGAAAATTTTATATTTTTCTTGACATTTTCCAGGAAATTTTAAAAAACATTTTAGTGCCACTTCTTTATTCATCGTGAGATTTTCCTACTGTATATCTAAACCTTGCAGTGTTGCCACCTCCTACATTATCCACATTCAAATATTTGTATTTATTGTAATTTTACATTTCTCAAAGAATTACGAGTATTAATTCTAATCATATCTTTTTATGAAGTCATTGCCAACTATGGTTTCCATTTAAAAAAAAACATTAATTTGTGTCATATGTCGAAAATGGCAGGCTTTAGAAAGAAACGGAGAACAAAGTCTCATTAAGGATGTGATTATCTACACCTTTTATCTGAAATTTTTTTGTCCAAAATAGATTATAATGGAATTAGAGACCATTTTTAAAATAGCCGAAATTTTTTTTTCGAAATATCTAATAAGCCATGAACTTTTTCAAAAATCTGAAAGGTACATATTTATGACCCCACAAAATTGCAATTCTTTACCCATTTAACCTACTCTCTATCTCCAGTAGTTTCCGAGATACCCAGAGAGAACATCATAGAAAACTCACCCTGTATAACCGTTTTGATTTTAAGGATTTTGTCTTTTTTCAGTGTTTGAGGAATTTTGCAGGAATTATTTTTCCCATTTTTTTATGTGATAATTTTTTTAATCTTATTTTTATTAGTTGTTTAATAAGTGTTTTTGTTTGTTTTAGTCAAAGTGGCTTAGATGCAACCTGGCTACGGAAAATGAATCCTTTTGGCAAGAAACGAGAAACCTAGGAATCCAAAGAAATGTAGATTTTGTTTATAAATAAATATTGAAAATATGTTAAATATCTATTCGTTTGTTTCAGAAAAAAATATTATATCCTGCAATATAAAAAAATGGTCAAGTGGGTTTTGGCTTTGATAATTACAAAAATTCTAATGTAATTTTGTATTGAATTGTAACAATTGTATTACCTCCTATCCTATAAAGCACACTTGGTCATAAAACTCTTTGATTGTGTTGTATATGGAGTTTTAAATATCGTATGATTGATTAAAAAAAACGGCGCCAAGTTACCTTTTAAGAAATGTCGAATTAAAATAGCATCGCCTGTTACATTGAACTTGAGAACTTTTTTCAATCATACGGTACGCGATATAAAAAAGTTTTGTTATAAAAAAATTGTAGGTTTACACAATTTATTAAATGTCTGATTTAGTTCACACTCTGGTTTAATTTTGCAAAACCTGATGAATACTTTATAAAGTTGATAAACGAAAATAGCCGCTGCGGTTATAGTAGAGTACAGTACAGTACTCCAATACGCTGATGTTGCAATGATATGCGCTCTAGTTGCAAATACGTTACAGCAATTACAGGAAATGCTGAACACATATACCTGGGCATACGAGACTTTGGGCCTTAAACTGAACATCGATAAAACATAAATCATGTGTACTCCCTCGGAAAATCATAACAGCGTTATAAAAATCGGAGAACTATTGGAATATGTATCGGAATTTAATTACCTCGGCAGTTTGATTTCGGAAAAGGCAAATATCGACTCTGAAATTCAGCACAGAATCAGCAGCGCCTCAAGAGCATTCTGGAAATTAAAAGACAGGGTTTTCTACAATCATGACTTGAGCACAAAAACGAAACTTGCAGTGTATCGAGCAGTAATAATCCCCACCATGTTATATGGAAGCGAAGTTGCAACAGAGACACCTTAGACAGCTTTTAAGAATCAAATGGTACCACCATGTCTCAAACATATCAGTCCTTAAAAAAGCAAAAGCTGCGAGAGCGCTGAAGTCACGATTACTAAATCTCGCTTAAGATGGGCTGGCCACGTATGCAGGATGCAAGAAAACCGCCTACCGAAATCTCTTCTTTACGGTGAACTTGTAGAGGGTAAGAGGAAACCGGGTGGACAACTCAAAAGATACAAGGATGTTGTTCATGAAAACTTAAAGGGGATAAGTATGCAGCATCAGTGGGAGGAAGCAGCGCACAATAGAACGCAATGGAGGAGAATTGTAAATTCAATTAATAACGACAACCAAAAAGTAAAGAGGCAACAAAGTAATGAGATTTTTGAATGTCCGGAGTGCGGAAGAGAGATATCATCACGTATAGGGCTTTTCAGTCACAGATCACAGAAAAGCTCATGACAGGAAACGCCTTGCGTAACCATCTTTTGATGCGTGTCAAATACAAAAGTAATGGCAGTACTAGTAGTAGTAGTAGAGTACAGAGTACTACCAAGTACCGTATGATCGAAAAAAAACGGCGTCCAGTTGGCTGGGAAATGACGATCAATGACATTTCCCATATAAATTTACATATAAAATGACAGCGATCTTCATTTCATAGCCATCGCTGACGCCGTTTTTATTCGATCATACGGTACTACTTAATATAAGAAGAATGAGAAATAGACCTGAGAGCTAAAAGAATGAGCTAATAGTTATTTGTGTAACTAGTGCAAAAAGGACATATTTGTTGCACGACACATGAGTTTGGCAGCTCGAAACAAAGTCGAGAACTGCAGTCATGCTGAGTGCAACAAATATGTTTTTTAAATGTTTATTAAAAAGTTTTTACGGTAATTCACAGAATAATATTACTACTAACAATGACACTGTAAACCAATATTATTTTTATTTTTTTAATAGCTTTTTTTGAGTTGATTTTAATTTTCATGTAGCAAGTTTGAACAAGTAAAAGGATGCTTTACGCTATACTGTGACTGTGATACTGTACCGAGCCGCGCGTCGCACATTGGTTCAGATTCAAAAAAATCGACGCATAGGGATCAGGAAAAAAATTTCGAAAATTTCAACAATGATATTATTTTCAACAGATGATGGGTCCATTTATTCAAATTTATCACGATTCACTTTTTAATCGTAATAAAAAAGCGTACAGGAATGTTGTTTTCGTTAGAGTTTGTAGTTTAAATATATCAGTTATTTGCTGATAACGGTTTATTGTTGCTAATATATTTTGGTTCTTAGTTCAGAGACTTGGAAATAAATTAAATTATAATGGTTTTTGAAGACCAAGGTAAGGTACTTTATAAGAGAATTTTATTAACTTAAATATTTTTTTATGAAGCTAGTAGTTATCTCAAACATAGCAGAGCGTTTTTTTGAAAAAAATTAAACTTTGAAATTGCGTATCTTTAGAACTCCGCAGATCTCCGCTTCTGTATTTTATAATTTTTAAAAGGTATTATACCAAGTTTAATTTACCACAAGTATCTTACCCCAAGAGACCCCGAGGTAGATGATATATAAATTAGAATTTTAAATTGACCAGTAGTCTGATTTTTGTTCCATGGATAATTTCTTAAATTATTATACCAATATTTTGAACTCTGGGTGGTAAAAGTGTAACTATAGAGAGACTCATGTTCTCCCGTACTCTATTCTTTTTATTTTTTAGGAACAATAAGCCGCAGATAAATATGTGAGAGGTTTTTGAAAATGGGTTTTTTAATAATAGGTCAGAAGCGGATAATGATGAAATTATTTCATTTTTGTGTGATAATAATATTCCTAACATATTATCGAAAAAAAAGCAAATTGAAAATTTTGTTTAAAAATGGTCAGAAAAGTGGAGGAAATGTAATTATACTTGGAGCAGTTTTATTTCCAACAATTGTCTCTGGCTGAATAAAAATTTGCTTCAAATGGAAGAGAATCAATCTTTTCATGACCCTTCAAGAAGAATTTTTTTTTAGAATTGTCACAAAAAAAATAAAGAGACCAAAGGTATATATTGCCAAGGAATTAATTTATAATATCTTACAGAAAAAAAAACATGTTTTTTTATCTACATAATGCTGCAAATATTGCAGTATTGCTTTTAATTAATGGCAAAAATTAAAAATCAATTTATTTCTAGAAATTAGAGATTCTTACACCTCGGAAGTTCTGGCATATGCTACAGTTTCTAATTTAAGGAAGAGAGTGTTTGCCGTCTCATTTAAAAATGAGACGGCAAAAGCAGTCCAACTAGGGTTTGAATTTCCAGAGAAAGTAGTCGCCACTAAAAATAGGTGAAGATTTACCCGCAGATGGCACTCATATGGCAATAGAATATTATTGTCAATCAGATAGTGAAGAAGAACTAGAATAAAGTGGTGGTGAATGATGAAAATGAGTTTGAAGACTCCATTTAACGCATATTGCAATTTATGTTTTTTTCTTTAATTTAGACCAGATAACCTAATGGGTATTCTTTTTTGGACTAGGTTCGGAGCATTTTTCAAACCTTCTTAAAATCCATAATTTTTGAATAAAATTCATAGAAAATCCCCCTTTTTTAATATTTTTATACTAAACAAACTTAGTCTGAAATATATTTTGTTTATTCCTTGGACTATCTTTGTTATGTTAATAAATCCGCCATTAAACCTAATAAGTCTAGAATTTGTAATAAAATTAAAAATATCCTATGCGCCACTTTTTGGCAATCTGAACCACTGTGCGTCGGTGAAGACACGGCCAAACATTGTCAAGTGTTCTTTACACATATGTATACATTCATGCCAGGCCGAGCACGATCCGAGCTTCGCCGGAACTCGTCCGTGCCCCGTCACAGAAATGTCGGCTTACATTTTTTTCTCGGATCCGCTCCGTTCCCGCCACGTTGCGGAAAGCATGAATGTACTTTTCCTGGTGCCCCGACTGCAATCTGCAGTCATGATATAAACAAAGCACACTTTTTATCACATCTGTAGTAGGTATTAGTGAATCTCACAGCAGTATTTGACGCCAAGGTATGCGTAAAACTGGACAATGAAAGGATGTAATGAAGAAGATAGGTCCTTCATCTTTCCCTTTGAGCATGTGTTCCACCTGCAGGTGTTGTTCTTTATTCATCAACTGCAATTTTTTTACGAAATAATGTGGCACCACACATTTGATATTTCAAGTCAAATTGTCAGATGTTAAAAAACTTAAAAACTAAACTGATTTTTATTAACATTTTTAACTGCTAAGCTATAGGTAAATACCAAGTAAATACACAGACAATTATATCCGTAGTACAATATTTAAATATTAAAATCGCAATCGCAGGTTACAGTCGCAGCGATTTAAAAATCGCAATCGCAGTTTTGCTCATCTCTAATAGCAAGGTGTTTTTTCACTAAAAGAAGATATTTTTTGCACTACCTACTGTAAAAAATTTCACTTTTAATACAGAAGATAGTAAAAAATAGCTACTTTTTGCACCATCGGCATCGTAGAATTTTGTTTTTATTTTTACATACCCCTAATATTTATGAGTGTGTAGGTATTATGTATGCTAGAAAATTTGCGTTTCAAATATTCATCTCAATTACAAATTTATGTGAACGAAATTACAAAGTTGTTTTTCTCTTAGAGTATTTTAAAATATTAATTCAAGTATACTGGAAATCATTAAATTTTCAATCATAAATTACTGGTTTTGATTACCAGAGTTAATCAAGAAGGAATAAAATTCCAAGCACACTACTGAATTATTGAAATCCATCTTACATATTTATGTTTTATAAATCTGTGAATATAAAGATAAAATAGTCTGAACACATTACTATTCTGGCTAAAGCAGTTAAACGAACAAGAAGTTTTACAGAGAAATCATTTTAAAAATGACAGTAAGAATATTTTATACTTATCTAGTTCCAAGTCGATTCTTCAATTATTTTTTAGGTATACCCAAAATCGACTCATTTATCAATACCGATGATATGTTCATCGTCTTTAGGTATTTTCCCGGCCGAGTTTATGTTTCAAGACAACAGTGTGCTTCAAATGCTTTATGCCAGATACTCAGTATTGATGCTTGGTTATTACATATTTTTTCTGCTTACGGCTTATATAAAATTATTTGATTTGGTTGCCGAATCGGATCCCAGACTTGACGAAATCTCCCGTAATTTATGTATTACTCTGATTTACACAGCCACAGTGGTGAGGCAGTTGATTATAAAAACCCATATGGGCGTTAGAAATCTTATCAGACAAATTATTCATTCAGAAGCTTACATTAGAAGTACTAAAGATCAAAAGGTAGTTTCACATCTTAGTCATAGTGATCTTAGTAGTCAGTATCTTAGCTGAACTCAATTTAACTCACTTTTTAAGTGAGTTAAATTGAGTTCAACTAAGATACTTAATCTTAACTGTATCAGTAAATTTAGCAGGTTCTATTTATTTGTCATAAATCGAGTTTGAACTGAGATAAAATCTTGATAAAATCTCTCCCTTGTCCCAACTGAGCTTGCATGTCAGCTGGCTTAGTTTAGTTAGTAGCTAGCTAAATTTTAAGTGAGACGAAATACGAAAGAGGTTATAAATCGCTGTTAGCGTGAACCGAACTGTTCATTTTTTTATTCATCTTAACTCATCTCAATTTGTCTTATCTTATTATATCTTAGTAATGAGATATACTAACATTTTCTGTAGGTAAAAAGAATACAGCTTACAATTCATCTACTTGTCGGTTTTGTATGAACTTGATTGTTCCTTGGCATTCATTCTCTATTTATTGACTCTCTTATCTCTCTAATGATAATGTAAACTTACACAGTTTCTTTTTTTCGCCCGTAGTTTTAGAAGAGCTTCGCAGTACAATTAATACCATCAAAAATAAATCCTCTTCTGGGACCGACGGGCTAACTTTAAAAATGTGTTCGAATCTGCCAGAAAGCACTCTGAAACACCTAACAACTTTAATAAACATGTCGTTCCAAAATGGTATTTTTCCAGAATGTCTTAAGACGGCAATAATCATTCCTCTGCATAAAGGAGAAGACAAAGATGAAGCTTCTAACTATCGCCCAATTGCACTCCTTCCAACGCTATCTAAGATCATAGAAAGGTGGTTAAAAGAAGGCTGGTATCTTTTCTGTTTAAGTACAAAATACTTACTGAATATCAATTTGGATTTCTAAGCAACAAGTCCACAAATGACGCTATGTTTTCCCACCTTAATAAAGTTTACTTCAGCCTAAACAACCATCATTCTGCAGCAACAATTTTCTGTGATTTTTCTGAGGCGTTCGATTGTGTAAATCATAAGATCCTAATTAATAAACTGCAGCACTATGGGTTCAGGGGATCATCTCTCGAATGGTTTAAGTCGTGTCTGAGCAACAGAAGTCAACTTGTGAGGGTGGATACCACGTTGTCTTCTAGCAAGCCAATAGAATGTTGAGTACCACAAGGCTCAGTACTAGGCCCTATTTTGTTTCTTGTTTTTATTAACGACGTTGCTAACATAAACATCAGTGGCAAAATATGTCTTTTTGCGGATGACACTAGCTTCACTTGGAGCAACAAGGACGTCACGGCACTTCATAGGATTATATCAAATGACTTAATCACTATTAAATCTTGGTGCGACTCGAACCTCCTGAGTCTCAACATTTCTAAAACTAAAGCTTTGTCGTATAAAAACTCGCTGCAGCCTTTTGTACTCAACAACACCTCCATTGACGTCGTAAAATCTGTGAAATTCTTAGGGCTTGTTGTGGACAATTCTCTGAAATGGGACGTACCTATCGAAGCTTTGTCGAAAAAATTGAGCTCTGCCTGTTTTGCATTAAGGTCTGTTTCTAAGGAGCTTAACTTGTCAGTGGCTAGAAATGTTTATTATGCGCTTTTTGAGTCGCACCTCAGGTATGCCCTTCCATTCTGGGGTACGTGTTGTGCGACTCAATTTGACCGTATTTTCAAGCTCCAGAAGAGAGCTGTTCGATATTCACTGGGACTGAACAGCAGAACTCATTGCCGGGACTTTTTTAAAGAATTAAAAATATTGACTCTTCCTTCCTTATTTATATTTGAATCCGTTTGCCTAATACGTAAACATGTATCAGCTTCTCAAGAAAGGCCATCTCACACTTATCCACTCAGGTCAGAGCAAGATCTTTATCTACCCACCCCACGCTTAGAGTTAGTTAAAAGTTCAATATTATACAATCGAAAAAAATGCACAATCACCTGCCATTTGAAATCAAATCCATAACATCATTTTTTTCATTTCGCTCTGAAGCTCTGAAAGCATTGAACTCTTATTTACTAGACAAGGCTTTCTACGCCGTAAATGAATTATATTTTGAAAATCGAATTTGATCTTGTAAACACTGGTGTAATGTTTGCTATTGCTATATTTACTAATGACATCGAAATAAATTTACTCAAATTTATTCAGAGGTCATTGATATTTTACTATAAACTAACTAAATATTTTTGAATATAATTTTTATTTTTTTGTTCTTTGACATTGTAAACATTTATAAATGTTTATTTTAAACAATAAGACTAGAGAGAATATTATTTGTATAATGTTTTGTATTATCTTTTGTTTGTTTGTTTGTGTACCTTGTTTTTTTACTTTGTTTGTTAGTTTACCTTTGTCTACAAATTGAAAAATTTTTTGACAATAAAGGCATTTATTTATTTATTTATATATATTATGTAGCTCTCGCCTCTATTTCCAAAAGAATTTGAAGAGTGGGTAAGTCGAGTAGGGTTTTATACCTTGCCGTTGTTTGGTTGGCTTTCTGCCACCAGGCAACTGATAATAGGTAACTTTTTTGTGATAATAGGCAACTTTTTTTTGTCCAGGTTTAATCCTAGATACTGAACTTCTTCCGCAAACGGAATTATCTCACCAAGAAGTGTGGGCGGTTTCAATTTGTCTATTTTTCTTCTTCTGCTGAATAGGATGATCGCAGGTTTCTGTGGATTTACACTTTGTTATTCTAGTGTGCAGCAGCCGTGAATTTCTTCTAAGACTTTCTGTATCTTTGAGGAGATCTCCTCCTCTTTGCCGATGTTACCTATCGTTACCTATCGCAGACCAAGACTGCATTTGTCTTGGTCATGAAGTCTAATAAATAGTCTTGATCTTGCAGGGCCAGTCTTGTTGTAGTAATATATACATACAGTGGTGGCCAAAAGTATGGAAACTTTTTTAATTTGTCATTTATGCTGAGAAATTAAAATATGAAATAAAACGACTTATATAATCGTGACCTACAAATAATTTCCTACAAAACCTAATACATTTAAATAAAAAATTACAGCTATCAAAAAATATATAAAAAATTATGAATATTTTCTTGGTCAAAAGTATGGAAACTTAAGAAGAATGTTTATTAAAATTCAAGATAATATAAAAATTACTAATATTTAGTGGAATGTACCTTTGAATTCATTACTTCTCTACATCTTCGTGGCATCGAATCGATCAATCTCGTACAATCTTTACTGGAAATGGCCGCCCATTCAGTTTTTAGCATTTCCCATAATTCATTTTTATTTGAAATAGAATGGTTTCGAATTTTGCTATCCAAATGGTCCCATAAATTTTCTATGGGGTTAAGATCCGGAGACTGTGAGGGCCAATCCATTAGTTGAACATTATGTTCATTTAACCAATTTTGAACAAACCGAGATTTATGCTTGGGATCATTGTCTTGCTGGAACAACCATCTGAGTGGCATTTCTTCATCAGCATGAGACAGCATATTATTCTCCAATATGTCTTTGTAAAAAAACGGTCCATTATCCCATCAATTTTAACAAGAGGACCAACACCTGAGCGAGAAAAACACCCCCATACCATTATACTCCCACCCCTATGTTTTACTGTGGGCATCTGGTACTTATGGCTGTACCGTGTACCTTTTGGTCTTCGGACATAACGTCTCCCGTCACTACCAAACAGGTGAAACTTGCTTTCGTTGCTAAACAGTACAGTATTCTTGAGCTGATCTTGAGCAAATTTAAAGCGGGCCATCCTATTTTTCTTTGATATTAGTGGTTTCTTCACCGCAACTCTTCCAAAAAGTCCCATGTCATCCAACCTTCTTCTCACCGTGCGTGCAGACACCGATATTCCCCTTTCACCCATTTCTCGAGATATGTCTGTGGATGTTTTTCTTGGATCTCCCATTGATATTCTCTTCATTACTTTCATTGTCCTTTCTTGGTCTTCCTGACTTAAAAGCTGTTGAAACGTTCCCTGTTTTATTAAATTTACGAATTATTTTCGAAACGGTGCCTTTTAAAATGTTTAAATTTTTACTTATTTGAATTTGTTTATAACCGCTCTTGTATAATTCAACTATTTTATTTTTTAAATCCGTAGAGAAATATTTAGACTTGGGCATGATGTTTATATTTATCTGAAGCAAATCGTACCGTTTATCAGCTTAAACTAAATAATTTTAATGTATTTATTTATGGTTTCCATACTTTTGGCTACAAGAAATCTATTGTTCTCCTACAAAAACTGCTAAACAGATTTTTTTCGCTGTGTAATTTTTGGAATACTTTTATTTGCTGATAAGCTGTTCATTTATATTCCTGAGAGTTTAAGCATAGCAATATTTTCTGTGATATTTTAAAAAGTAAAAAGTTTCCATACTTTTGGCCACCACTGTAAATCACATATTCACTTGCATACTGGCAATACTCATCATCACTGGCGTTCATGTCTATATTACTAATATTATATTAATTACAAATTTGTTAAAGTTAAACTGAATTTTAAGGTAATTGAAATTTACGACGACTGTGCCAGAGATACAGGTAGCAAATGCAAATATTATTTACTGATTTTGTTTATAATCACGATGCTGTACATTCTCAGACCAGTGTTTCTTCACGGCTATTACATTTCTAGTGGAAATTCAACATATTTTATTAAAAATCTACCGCTATCCTCTTGGTTCCCCTTTGATGAACAGGTCTACTATTTGGTAAGCTAAGCATAAAGCATAATATTTGTATAAAAAACTACCCTACTCAAATGTAATAAGAAAATACGCAAACTTTTATTTTTAGACCGCATATGTCTGGCATATATTTGATAGCCTAATTGGAGCTTCTTTTGTAACGTACACGGATATATTGATGTTTAGTCTTATAGTGTATCCAACTGGACAAATTAGGATCCTACACCATGTCCTTAAGAATTTTAGTACGTACATGGATAATGTAAAGAGGTTGAATAACATTGAAAACGATGAAGATGCTTCTTATACGACTTTTCGTGAATGCATTAGGAGGCATAAGGAAATTATAAGGTATAGTGCTATGTTTTTATGATTAGATTGGATTATGAGGTGGGTATCTATAGTATGTCTCCGGATTTGTCTTTACAAGAGGAAAACCTTTTTATTATTGACATTTTGGGAAAAAAATATTAAAAAAAAAAATTGCTTGTTCTAAAATGGTTAATCCCATTTATCTACTATTTTTATATTAAATAAAAAAAATAATGAAAATATTGTTGAATTTTTCCTAAAGTTTCATTAAAAACCGCGCAATTAGTGGAATACATTAGTGGTTTCAATTAGTGTCCCAACTAGCAAATATAGTTCCCAGTCCTGTTTAAAATGTCACTGCCCCTAAATTATAGTTCTTAGGCCAACTTAAAATGTTATTCTATAAGGAATAGTCACTTTGAAGTATATTTCGAGAGTGACTGGTTAGTGCCTACCTAACATAAAAGTGAACACCCCGATTGCAAGTCGCAAACATGTAATTTAAAGAAGTGGCTGGAACTACCCGAATCTTCGAATATGACACCATAAAAGACCAAACACTTTATAGTAACTTTTCAAAGTTACTAACAAGTGCTACCATAATGCCTCCATTAAGTTTTGTTACTTTATAGAAAATATTTAAGTTACGGGGTAGTCGCGGCCACGACACCTAGTTACTTCTAATTTATAGTAGCATTAAAAGTAGGAAAATGGTTACTGCTCCTTCCTAGGTCACTATACAGTAGCCGTCGCTCATCCATTGCCACTAAAAAGTCACGGGGATCAAAAACGGCTACTTTATAGTGTCCATATAACTTAATATACCCATTAGGGTATATATTACATTTATTAAAATGTAATTGCCTTAGATCGCATCGTGGTGCTGCTCTGTTTTAGTGTTTTCTTTTACTTGTATTTAAGTTTTATTAAAATTTAGTAAAATGCCTAAGGTGTATAAAAAGAAATTTAGATATTCTAGTATACTTTCTACAGAAGAATTAAGCAAAAGGAATCACTGCGAGCCGAAGCATCAACATCAGAAACAAAAACTACATCATTCTATAATCCTACTGATGAACATCATAAATCAGGTAGTGACTGTGACATTTTTGAAGCTGTTTCTGTAGATTTTTCGTTTCCATTTCGCGTCGTCGCGTTGCCAAATTGGAACTTTAAAGGACAAGGCGGAACGTTATAGTGGCACCAATGGAATGTATAGTAGTTCCAAAAAAGTTATTTTTTCTATAAAGTCACCTTTGGGTAGCTATAATTGCCACTTTATCAATCCGAAGATTTTAAAGGTCGAAACGTCTAGTGTTGGCCTAATATGTTATTGTTCCCGGTACTTTGTGGAAGCATATTACGGAACTATAAAGTATTTTTCAGATTAAACTGCCATATTTTTTTATGACTTTAGGCGAACAGTCAAATGACTCAAACATTATGCGTTTTCAAGCTAAATATACCTAGATTAAAGCTTTCTTCCTTAGTTATTTTGTTATTTCTGACGGTGGACTAATATTTTAAAGTTTGACCCCAGTTTCAAGCAAATTATTATTATTGTTTAATTACTACATGAGTTTCTATTTCAAATAATATAATAACTTGAAATATTTTGAGAGGCGCTCAAACATTTTGTCGTATAAACCCACTATTTTATTCAGTAAAGTACGTCGATTGCGTTCTGGAATTTAGCTAAAAAAGGCATTAAAATCGCACGGTAAATAACGAAAAAATAATAATGGCCTCCATAATTATTTTCCATCATGACATTATTTATTTTTATGAATGAAGTTTAACAGCTTAACGATAGCTCTACATGTCGGTGGATAACACTTGGCTGCCACAAACTCGCGACTAGGCAGCTTCATAACAGATAAGTCGCATTCACCAGTAGGCTACTTTATAGTAACACATCATAGTAACTCTTTGAGTGGCACACAGTACCCAAGACACTACCCGGCTACTCAAAATCTTTCCCCATCTTGGTCGCAGTTACTTAGCAGCTACGAATATATGACGTAGCGGCCGATGGTCACAGCCCACTTTGTAGTGGCTTTGATAGTAGCAGTTACGTATCTGCCACTATAAATGCTAGTTGGGGTAGAAGTTTGTTTCTCGAATTTGAATGTAAGCATTTAAAACGTTAAAATCGGTCGGAATTTTCAATTAGTGGCAAAAGTTACCAAACTTTTAACTTGTCTACTAATTAAAGTTCAAAACTTGCGACATATGTCATTTTGGCCTTTGATTATCATCCGTCAAGAGAAAATATGGTTAGAAATCAAAAGTTTATTGTTTTATGAGCTAAATATTAGGCTTTCTCTATGGATTCAACTGATTAGCGCAAGCTGTTGCCAGGATATTCTATTAATTTTAATTGTGTTTTTTAAGTATAAAGTGTAATTGAAACCACTAATTTAATCCACTAATTGCGAGGTTCTGAATGAAGCATAAGTCCTAAAAATCAAAACAATTCGAATTTTGTTTTCATTCTTTGATTGATTGTTGTTTATAGAATTATTTTAATTAATGTCATATTTTTTACTGTTTAAAAATGATAAAGAAGCACAACATTTATTTTGTTCATTGCTACGACAAGGGTGACAATAATTATCAGAAAATGTGATACTTTAACTACAGAAAAAAAATGTGACGTTAATCAAAATTAATAGTACCCATATATTAAAGAATGAAATCTAAATTATACTACCATAGAAACGCCTTTTGATTTTTAGGACTATGAATTAATTCCAAAGTAATTTCCGCCACAATCCAAACTTTCATCATAGTAAACAAGGATCATAGTAAAACTTTTTCATCACCTTTTTTTTTGAATTTCAGATATGTGGATAATTTTAATGAAAGCATGAGTATTTTAATGATATTCGATTTTCTACAAAGTTCCCTACAAATAGCTACCATTTTAACGCAAATTTTAGGGGTGAGTTGTATTACTGAGATTATATTAATTTCTATTAATGTTACTGACGTTTTAGAATCCAATATCGCTAATGTTAGTACTATTCGTTGGAGCGTTTTTTCTTGGGATGATCTTAAGATTGATTCTCTATTATTATTATGCAAATGACGTCATTGTGTTGGTGAGTTTATTAGGTTTTTGTCAGAATTAAACCAGTTCTAATGATAGATGGATAGTATTTATAACTTTATCAATCAATTATTAATAAATTACAGAGTAGTGAGTTGGGAGTGGCTATATGGGAAAGCAACTGGTACGAGCAGCCACCCAAAGTAAAGTTTATGATGCATGTGTTTATGATGAGATCACAGAAAGCGTTAAAACTTTTTATTGGTCCATTTAGCGTTATGTCTCTAGATTCGTTTATTGCTGTAAGTAGTTCTCAGAAAGTAATTCTCAGAAAAGTTTATAAGGTAGTGTAATTAACACTACATATTGGTATTGCTTCAGTAATATACTGAAGTTAACTGAAGACTTAGGATTAATTGTATTAATAATAATATAAATGTTTTTTTAGATCCTGAAAGCGACATATTCATATATAATGTTGATGTATGGTGTGAATTAAGGTTTTCTATAATCAAGAGTTCAACAGTGGTTTTAAGAGTAGCCTCTATTACACTAGATTCGCTTCACATATCTATTAGTGCTTATAGATGTGCTTATTAATAATTATAGTGTTAAAATTTATCTGTTAGTAACTATATCTCATATTATAAAGGTAGCCGCACACATACAGTTTTTCCTCGAGATAAAAGTTGTTAAAACCATTAGGTTGTCGGAGGGCTGCACACTGCACAGTCTACAAAATCTTTATCGAAAACTATTGTGAATAACTGTGCTATACAGGGTGAGTCTTAAATAAGTGCAAATATTTTCAGAGCTGGTAGATCTCGATAAAATAAACATATTTTCGCTTTGCCGTTTTTCAAATAAATCTAAAATAACCGAGATATTTTACTTTGAAAATTTCCCCCAAAAAATTATTTTTTGTCAAAATTTTGAGAACCACAGGATCTTTTCTGGATTTCTTCCTTGTAAATTTAAACTACTACCTATTTTGCGGCCATATTATCAACAAATTATATTTTTTAACTAAAAACTAAAAAAAATTGGGGTCGATATATACTACCCCTAAAAATATTTGTACTTATTTAAGACTCAACCTGTATAGACGAGTCACGAACTAACGTAAAATCTCCGTGTGTGGGTCATCCGAACTTGAAAAAAAATCTTCAAGACGTCTACTGCGGCGTTATGTCTTGAGGAAAAACCTTGCGTGTGTGGCTAGCTTAATACTTTTAAATTTTATTAGTGTATTTTACGAGTATAAGATACAAGCTGGATATAAATTGTTAATTTTAAGAAAGAATCATGCAACTTATTTTACTGGAGAACCAACTTTTATAAAATCGTATTTTCTTTCAAAATTATCCAAAATAGTGTCTAAAATTGTCAATCAATATACAGAAATCTTTTGAAATCAATGCCGCAAAAACAAATCTTGAGAAAACATGAGTGCCGAAAAATAAAAATTCTGTATTTCGAAGGGGACTATAACAAAATATCAAGTGTGCTATATTTTTGGAAATTTAATTTTACGTCCTTTTCAGTTAATTAAAAATATACAGGGTGTCCTAAATAAGAAATCAATTTTTCTGTTGATAACTCTAAAATTATTAATTTTAAGAAAATTATATTTAAACCGTTAAATTCTACGTAAAAAGGTGCTCTGAAAATGTTTTCATAAAAATATAAAATTTTCCATTGCAAGAAAGTTACAGCGATTTGTTAAAAATTGACATTTTTGAAAAACACAACAGATATCGATGTGCGGTTTTCACCATTATATTTTTTTTAGATTGAGCTTAGACACCCTTATTAGTTTAGTTTTTGTCTATCTCCTATAGAAAAGGGTGTTTCCCTTTAAAACGCCCAATTTGACCCACCCTGTACATCAGTTTTATGAATTTTAATAAAATTAATAATTGCTTTTATCTCATCGAGGAGATCCAAATGGATAAAATATCAAGATAATATAACTTTTAATTGCCATTAAATGGCCCTACACACTTTCGCTAATAATACTACACTTCGTGTTTTTTTAATATCCTTTGGACACTTGTACGATTCACGCCGGCTAATTTTGCATTGGCTAATTTTCTTGTACTCAGAGTACTATCAAAGGCAACTTGGCCCAATACGAATACCTCCATAGCTTCATTTATTTACTACAGGATAACTCTGCCTCTTTTTATTCATAACGGAACCAGTTTTGCGAAATTTTGCTACTAACTCGCGAACAATTTTGCCATAAAGGTCATTGTCAGGATTGCATTCATTGAATATCTGCGGAACCCGATTGCCATATTCATTATTTTTAAAATAAAGTTCGATTATTTCCACTTTTTCTGCAAGTGACTACACCACAATTGTTTAAAAAGTTTAACGATATTGAGAAGAACTTCAACGCACAAGTCACAGAACAGCTATCTAGCAACTACCGCACCTGATCGTTCAACCTTGTGGCAAGTGAAAAAATACGTAAACATCTAGAAATAATAAAAAAAAACAGCAAATTTGTCGAAGGAATTTATCCTTATCATTTACTCTGATAAATGTTTTAAAATAAACTTTTCAAATTTCAATCCTTCGTATTTTCTCAATCACTCGACCGATTTTCAAAAACGAAGCGGGAAAGTATAGAGAATAGAAAGCTCTTTTCATTGCGGCGCCACTTGACCCCCCTTCCCATTTGAAAAAAGTTGGGGCATGACACACCCGCTTAAAGCGTTGAAGATTTTGCAATCATTTTTGGGGCAAAAGTTGTCCCCATCACAAACAAAATTGACGTGTTTTTGAATTTTCTGAAAAAAAAGTTACCCTGGCCGTTAGGCCTTGCGGAACTTTTCGATGGGCCACCCTGTATAGCACTCATACTAACTTTTACCCTCCATATTTCATTTGAATCGCTCAAAGCACTTAACAAGAAACTTATAATAAATCGAAAAAAGACTTTATAACCTCCTGTTGCTACGAAACAAAGCAGAATCGGACTGTTGATATGAAAAGTAAATCTCTTTTTTACGTGAGGAATCTCCCACCAGAGATGGCACATGTTTTTTGAAACACCCTGTATAGACTTTTATATTCTCATTTATAAACCTTCATATAATAAATCAAAGGAGGGAATTCTGGCATGTCACCACTTTTTTGTCTACACCTATCTACTTTAATAATTATACCGTATTATCAAAAAAAAAAAAACGGCATCCAGTTGGCTGGGAAATGAGGATGCAATTCCCGATATAATTTTACATATTAAATGTAACAGGGATCTTCCTTTCATAGCCATCGTTGACGCCGTTTTTGTCGATCATACGCTACATATGTATAACTGATTTTGATGATAAATATATAATCATATAATGCTAATAAACAGTTCGAAATCCTAATTATTAAAAATATAATTCTTAGACTAGACTTACCTCTACTAGAGCCTGTGCCGAAAGACCAAAACTGTAACTCCTATATAAACCAAATCACCAACTTTAGGTAGTAAATAAATATTCTTTAGCCAATTTGTCGATACATCTTTTAAATAGTTTTAAACTGTTGCCTCTTATCGTCTACACATATAATTACAATGTATTTTTTCTATGTTTAACTATCTCGATGGAAACCATTACGCAATAAACGCTTTTTTTACCAAAAAGTACCTGAGAATAAAATACGTGTTGCTAGTAGCGCTAGTAGGCTTTGCTCAATAAACAACGCTTGTTTTTTTGTCATCTTTAGTATTCGAAGATGATTCGAAGTTTGTGTCGCTTATCTAAGAGAGCAACAATTTATCATAGTCATTTAGTAGTTTAAAATAGCCCAAACTAGGAGATGGAGCCAACAACAATTTTCAGTCGCGAGACCGTCCCTAAAGATAGCCCACTCGGCTATAAATAGCCCAATCTGGCAACCCTGTACAGAACGTAAAAATTACGCCAAGCGCCTCAAACAAATTATCAGGCCTGAACGATACGGAATCGGGTGACGATACGCCAGACATCATATATCATATACAGGGTGGTCCGAATAGTATTCCGGAAACTTTGGCAGCATATTCTGCAGATAAAAATAAGTAAAAAAGTTCGTATAAAGGTATGTTCAAAAAGCTTAATTTCGGAGATACAGGGTGTAAAAGTTTCATTTTTATTTCGATTTTTTACAAATAATTTCTGAAGTAAGGTCAATATTTGGATGAAAATTGGTGTCTGGGAGTTTTTTGACATGAGAAATTTGATTTTGATATCAATATGACTGCTACTAGTAGAGGGCGCCACCTACATATTTTTTAACTTGTTTGAAGAGTAATAACTTTTCGTCCGTACCTGTATAAAACTACTGAGTGAAAAAATATACACTTGCGACGTTTTTTACGTGAAAAAGGTCTTTTGGTAAAAATCGCTACGAGTAATGGTTTTCGAGATATTTGGAATCGAAATTATCAATACCTGTCATCATTGACATAAATTAAACATGTTGACTAAATAGTTATTAGACTGAAATCATAAATTTGAATGTTTTTGTGCTAAAAGTTCAATAGAAACTGTTTTATCATCATTTTTTGCAGAAAAAATTATGATTAATTTAAAAAAATAAAAATTTCCCAAATGTATTATTTTAGTGAAATAACTATCTTCTCAACGTGTTTATTTTTCGTCAATAATGACATGTATTGTTTATTTCCATTCTAAATATCTTAAGAACGGTTGCCCGTAGTGATTTTTACAAAGAGATTTTTTACGTAAAAAGTCACAGAGATGTATATTTTTTCACTCAGTAGTTTTATACAGGTACAGACAAAAAGTTATTACGCTTCAAAACAGTTAAAACACATGTAGGTGGCGCCCTCTACTAGTAGGAGTTATATTGACACCAAAATCAAATTTCTCATCTCAAAAAACTTCCAGACACCAATTTTCATTCAAATATTGACGTTACTTCAGAAATTATTTAGAAAAAATCGAAATAAAAATGAAACTTCTACACCCTGTATCTCTGAAAGGAAGCATTTTAGGACATACATTTATAAGAACTTTTTTAACTATTTTTATCTGCAGAATACAAAGTTTCCGGAATACAATTTGGACCACCCTGTATATAAAAAAGACATGTAACGAACTAAAAACGTTACAGTATCAATAACGGCACTAGCAAAAAACTAAAATACTGAAATATTATAACAAAACCCCGACTTCAATATTATTTTATTGCGATCGATATGACGGCGGCGGCGACGTGAACTATATTGTTAATCATTTCTGATTTCAGCCGTAGAGAGCGCTGCGGTCGGAATTTGTTGAAATCAACTGAAATCTTTGAATAAGAAAACTAAGGAAGGAGCATATCAAAAATCTTAGGTACACCGCGATGGGCCTCAAATATGGCCGACTTAAATTCCGGTTTATCAGTGTCGTTCTAATATTATTTAAAAAATGTAAAACTATGATGTAGGGTAGACGTGGGGTAGACTCAATAATTTGTTGTTTTATTTTACGTTGTGAATAAATGTTGGTAGTTATTAAAATTGTTATAAAAATATATAATTCTAATAAAAATAGATAAGTTATAATAAGTATTTATTAACACAACCATCCGATACGCTACTGAAGCAGGTAAGTCAAATTAACGTATCTAAATTCTTTGACATCTAATCCTTGACAAGTAATAAATAAAAGCTAAAATGCAAGAAAAATATATAATTTAGTTAATTTAAGTGAATTTCATAAATGATCGGTTTACTACACGTATGTATATTACATAGTCACTTACTAGCGAAAAGTTGTTCCATTATTTCACTCAATTTTTGCCGAGATCTACCGCACGCTACACAACCAACTATTTTAGAGACTTTTTCGATAAATCGCGATAGTATCACTGTTAATTTAAGTTCTGCCACAATTTCCATCTAGATTTACTACCTTTATACAACTATCAGTAGTAGAATAAATAATAAATAACATAAAATAAGCTCCGTAAAGACTGACAAATCCACAAAATTTCAAATCAAATTCAAATGTGTCAAATGAATCGTCAAACAGAACTGTCAAGGATCCCCACCCTAGAGAGCTTTTATGGTGGCTTTTCCGCCCACCATGCATGAATACATGGATAGCATTATGCTCCTTCCTTAGTCTTCTTATTCAAAGACTGAAATGCACCAAGTCTATATGGCCCCCAGGTGGATGACACTACTTATGGGAGAACTGGCAATGGTTCAAAACTTGACTACAAGCGATTTTCTAGGAATCTCCTTTACCGATAAATTATTGACAAGAGTGACAG